CCCCCTCAAACATACTATTTTATTTGAAAAGTAGTGATTGCCTTGTCAGATATTATATGAAGTCAATATTTTTAATCTCTGGAAGACAACTCCCTAAGAAGGCTAGCTGCAATACATCAAACACCAACTCTTTAGGAATACAATGTCAAAAAAGATGAGAGGATGTAAATTTTCCAATTTTGATAACAAAAAAAATACTTAAATCCTTTCAATTATGATTTGTTTTACAATATTCTGTAGACTGAATAATTAAAACAGCATTATAATTTTGGTATTTAAGTTCGCCATTAAATAAGGAAAAAAAAATCAAAATAATTGATGAATTCTTTGCTGATGAATTCTATTCTGGTAAAATACACGGCAGATTATTAATAAAGAAGTGAAAATTATGGTATGATCATTGTGGGTAAAATTATCTATATTCCAGATTTGTAAAAGTTCAACAAATTTTAGGTTTAAAAGATACTAAATAGGATTTCTTAATGTGTGCTGTTAAGTAGCATCCTTATGGGGAGGAATATTGCAAAAGAAAGCAAGCATTATGGTGCCTGAGCTGCAGACAAATCTCACTCCAGATAATTTGGAATACTTGTTAGCACTCCAAAATTTGTGTACAGTGTGTAACACAGTAAGAGAGTAGATTTTTCAGATTTCACTCCTATGAAGTTTCAGTATTTTTCCTGATCTGTTGTATGATAAACACAATTTTAACTACTTGGATCACTGGACAATTCCACATAAAAAACATTATCTTTGTGTACACTTTGCCAGCTGACTGACTTCAGGAAGTTCAAGTACAAGTCTAAATATTTCATATATACATGACACGTATGTCTCAAAATATTTCATTTTGACCAATTTCCTACACTGTAACTTCTAAATTCAGAATTTAACAACATGCTTTGATATTGAAGCCATTAATAAAAACAATCCTATCAGAAATTTTCACAGAAATCAGTAAATAAAAAATATTCAATTATCCCCTAAATGATGGGCTTCTTATTCTACATGATAGTGAGAGTGGTTTTTCTCTACATCCAGTACCATTACTACACCTGCAGTTATAAATCTCAGCAGTATTTCCAGCTTGCATGCAGTTGGTGTGTATTCATGAGATACACATGCATTTCCTAATGCAATGAGAAGAAACACACAGATGAAAAGGGGTACTGCTGTTTCATTAGCATGACAATGCAAGTATTTTGAGCGTATCATCTGTTACATGTGGGCATACATGCTGCCTATTGATGAAGGAGTTAAACAAAAGTAAGGTCACTGAAAGAAAACGAGGGACTGAAGAACTCTTGAAGGAAAAACTAAAGCAAATCCCACAAATTAACAAGAAGCTCAATCCATAACAGCAGTTCTCTCTTCATGCCGCAACAGCGATGAAAACGGCAAGCATCAAAGTCAAAGCAAGACATCTGCCATGCCTGTGCGATGGCTGTTAATATACTAATTTTAAATCTTAAAATACTACCATGCTGACACATTATTACAGTATTCTGAGCACAGAACAAAAACAGAGCAGATGAAACCTTTAAAAATCATCAACAAAATCAAATCTTTTAAGCTATTTAAGTTTGCTACCAGAAGTGTCAAAATAACATCAGAAACAGGAAGGTGAATGACTGAGTACATCAGCGTCAGGGAGTTACTTCAGATCACACATTCTCAAAGTTGGAGCAGACTATAAAAAGGAGATGAGGAGAATTTCCTGTATCCATGCAACCATTATTATAGTATTCACACGTGCTACCCATTGCCACATTATGATTAACAGACTAGAGCAATAAAGGAAAAGCTGCAATCAGATTACATGAAGAGGAATGAATATCTCTGCTGATTACAAATGACAGCTGATTTTTTTTTTTTTTTTCAGTCAGGTGCATATTTAGAAAATGCACCAACTCAAAGGACAGATAAAGCCTCCTTGGAAGTAGCAGAGCCCATTTCAATGCTACTTTCTTACATGCTTTCAAATCAACACACAACTAGCTTAATCAAGAGTTTACCGTGACCCATTTTCATTACAAAGATCTACAACACAATGTAAATATTCCTCAAGTACACATAAGCACAGATCTACATATCAACTCTACACATAGTCAGAAAATTTCCACCAAATATTCTACAGCACAGTGAAATTAACTACAGCCTTGCAGGATTAGAGACAACCACACTAGTTTTGAAATTCCCTGTTTATGATGGCCTTTACTATGTTAGTAAAAGGAGAATCAATGCACAAGTGCAGGATTTGAATTCTTAATGTATTCAACAGAAGTCTCAAGTATTATTGTTCCCCTAAGACCCACATTAAATTGAATTTCATCACAGTTGCTACAAAATTAACAGCACAGGTCCAATATATTAGACACTCATAGACAAATAAAAATTAATTTCAAGCAGATCAGATAGGAAGTCTTGTTCACTGACACCATTATGCTCCTGGACATGTGGGAGGCCTTGATTATCAGCTTCAGTTTTTGAGATGGATTTCTGTTTTTGGTGTGCTTCTGAAAAATGTCTTTTCTGTTCCTATTTCCCTCCCCTCTTCAGAAATATTGTTTACACCACTCTGAGTCCTCTTTTTATTTGTTCAGTAAGTTCTGTCTTCCACAAGAGTCATCAAGCCTAGAGAGGTCTACACAAATACCATTTAACCACAGATCATAAAATCCTCCTGTCCCCACGCCCTTCAGTTTACAACAAACTTGAAAGCTAGGAGAGCCATAGCTAAAATATGCCAGAGGAAAAGAGTGGGGGACACCAAGGACAATTCTCAACATCTTTGATTCCCTTCTATTGCAAAAACAAACTGGATTCAATTTTCAAATCTTCCTAGCTAGGAGATCATGTCTGTGTTATGGAAAACTCCTACTTATCCTTGCCATTCTTATCTGAGGGAAATTCTTTCTAGACCTCAAATATGATAATAGGTTGAACACCTAAAGCATTGAAATGACATATTTCTTCAAGAGTTTTTAAGCCATAGAGAAGGTGGCAAATTTTTGAAGTTTATTTATCTATTTATTTTCTGTTGCCTATTGAATTAATTGAGTCCACTCAGGCCAAAGAAGTTTGTAGAATTTTTTTTTCAAATCTCACTCCAAACCAACAGCTTTTAAAGAAGACCTCATGCCTCACATTAATTTTTGAAGTACTATGCAAAGCCCTGAGTACAATACTCCAAGTCAGGTAGAAAAACAATTCTAATGACTACTTATTAACAAATCCACTCTTTAAAATCAGTGCCCAATCAACCAATGCTTAGTGAACAAAGCATTAGTTAACGAAGTCAACAAAGCCTACCAAGTAATAATATCTAATATTATAGCTAGTTAATTCTTTTCACAGTTACCACGCTGAACATATTAAGGAGCACAAACTCACCAACCAATACTATCTAGTACCAAATATAGTTATCACAATAACCATGTTAAGGGGCACATATAAACAGTTTTATGGAAGCAATGTCATAAATGACATGCAATGAATTGATAAAAGTATATTTTAAAAAGTACTGAGAATCAAATTGTAAGTGAACATACAGTAAAAACAGCTCTTAGGACCTGGCCAATTCCTGGATACTGAGATGGCAAACTATGTCTGAGGAATTTATAAAAACTTGTATATTCTATACAGAATCTGAAACACAGATGTTTTTGTGGGTGTATTTTTCAGCACTGAAAGTTTGCTATTTCAAAGTAAATTTTTTTCCAATTGCTCATCACTATATATCAATATAATGCTATAAGCCATCACTTTTCATGGTATAATGATGATAATACATTTTAAATTCTTTGATTAAGCTACTTGAGTAATGACGAAAAGATCGGACCTTTCTGAGCATGGAAATACCATGAATCAACATCTGTCATCTACAGAAATGGCACAAACGTCATTTACTGTTATCACACCAAACACCATCCATCACTCATCTTTAAATCCACTTCATCATATCCAAAGGGAGAACAAATCCAAAACTCCATGAGTACTAACAGCCTTAAAAAATAGTATTCTAACAGTATATCACATGAAAAATACAAATATATACAGCTTGGGTAGAAATTAGGCACAGAATCTATTTGGATCAAAATTCAAATTTACCTTTCAATTTATGAAAACAAAAAATAGTACATTCTTGCTGACACAAGTAACAGGTATAGAACAGAAAAGAACTCAGTCCTAAGAAGGGGAGAAGCAGAAGAGATTGACTTACCTTACGTTTTTTAATTTCTGATTGGTAAATCTGTTCTCCTTAGAGAAGCCCTTTCAAAATACTACAATTTCAGTTACAACCAAAAAATGAGATAGCCTTTTCTGACATCTTCACAATGACACTAACTTTGACAACGTTATATTCTGAGCTAAACAACAAAATCTCTAGGAGAAAAATGAACTAATTACACATTTTGAAGGAAAGCAGCATTGGAATAGAAAATACAGATAAGTAATTTTAATACTGGGGAAATACTTACTATCTTTAAGTAGAAAAAGATTAGGAACACCAGGAATTTGTTGCTTTAGGAAGGCTAAAACCACTAAATGGTCATGACAATAATTAAGACAAAGTGATAAGAACTTACACCATGTTATAAAATATCAGAAAGAAATGACTTTTTAGGGCTGACTCTATTATTTGCTTATTTGAAAAAGCTGTTCTTTTTCAGTGCTTTGCTATGCTTTCTATGGCAATGACACCGCAATAAATTGAAAACAATATCCTTAAATCTGACAAAAATAAAAGAGGACATAAAATGTGAAGATCATAGCAGTAGAACTGCAGGGAAACATATATGCCTTGGGAACCACATGTGTGAAAGGATACAAGTTTTGGTATAAAGGGATTAACGATTTCAACGCACGGCTTGCATTTATAGCTGTTGCACGAACCATAATAGGAAGAATTTTTCCATTCACAATAGCACCATCAAAGAGTGGACCAAAAAATGGGACCTGAATAAAAAATTAAGAAATTCAACATAAAGCAAGATGTAAGCTATAACAATTACCAATCAACAGTAACAATAGAGTGCCCAAGGGTATAATTTTTTTCTCCTCATTCTTAGATAATCAGACCAGTTATTGTGCTCCATGACAGAGCTTTTCTCTTAAGGAAATATACAGCCATATAACTGCTTGATATCCCTGGTAACAGATAAAGTATTTTAAGAAAATTAAGCAACCATTTTAATACTATATCTCATCAAAGCTTATTTTCAAAATTTGCTGCCAAAAATCCAAAGAATAGTTATGCATATGATGTTTATGAGGTTGCAATGCCAGATGACAATACTGTAGGCAGTCTTCTTTTTCCTTTTTAACATTCAAGCCCTTCACTATTCCCCGTAATATAACATGCTGTGCTTAAGCTAGTAAAGAAAACAATACACTTATTAATTCAAATACAAGGAACCTTGTGATAATAAGACCATATACTGGGTATCATTTCATACCTATAATCAGAGGTAGTTATCACATGGATGAATTCCTATGTCCCTATTCTGTTATATCTCAATTAATTTTAGCACTTTTAAGAAAGTGCTTCAATATATGAAGCACAGAAACTTATGGTGAGTGACATCATATAGAGAAATTTTGCAGTACAAACATTCATGATGACTTTTACTCAGTCAGCATTCACTATCTTAAACCACTGACAGCCCAGACATTCGATGAACAGAAATTAGAAAGGATATGTGTTCATATGCCTAGGAGTTGAATGGTCTTTGCTTGGCTGAATTTATTTTCAAGTTCCTATGCTGAGTCCAGGAGAAGATGAAAATTGGCTTTGAGAAAGAAGAAAGGGGAATATGAAATGGATGGAAAAGCTCGAGCAGGCTATGATTTAATGGCCACAATCACATATCAATTTGATACAGAAAATTTCAAAGATTATCTTAGAATTTAAATAATTAAGCAGAACATTGCAGCTTTCTTTGCAGTTTACAATGCCAGCAGATTTGCTTGATAGAATCATGCCTCTGCAGGTTCAAGTTACTTGTTTTGCTATGCACTGTTCTGAGTTCTCCCATTTCCTCCTACCACTGCAATTGTCAAAGCTGAAGACAGATCACCTTGTTGAATCAGTTTATTACACCAAAGCCCTGCATACAAAATAGAACTTAGTTCATGAACTTCGAACATAAGGAAGAATATACGTTCTCTCCGCCCTGTGCGTATGCTCAATCAATTTTCACTGTTCCCTGGGTATAAAGCACATAAAGGAAACACATAACCAGCCACCTGCCTTACCTCAGGCTTCTTCATGATCTGGATACTAAACATATGGTTTTTCATGGGATAGATAACAATAAGAACATCACCAAATTCTGTTGGAATTATTCCTCTTCTATAATCTCGAGTATGCTCTGACCAAACAATGTGTACTTCATCGTTTCCTAAATGTCTCAGCTGGAAAAGCAGAAATAAAAGAGCATCAGTTTAAATATCTTCTGTATCCATACAGCTATACTAAATGTTCTTATTTCAATAGGAAAAAAAAAACAACCACGAAAAAGAACGAAAGAGGAATAAAATAAATTACACTACAGTTCTCTCGTGTTTTCAGTTACAGTATTGGTTTTTGCTATGGATTTTTACACATTTCTGCCAATTACTATTTAAATTAACAATAGAGACTAATAAAAGCTAAAATTTTGTTCATTTTATCTCAAGAATGCCAAGTAATTCAACCGGATTTGCCAAAACGGTTTCAAGACTGCCATCATTGACAGGCAGTAAATTAACTACTAAATTCCATATGAATTTTAAAAAGAGAGAGACAAACATCTGTTTAAAAGGCATCAATCTGAGCAGTCTTTTAACCTCATCATTCTAGCTAAATTCTAAACTGCCCACCACAATTTTTTCCTCCTTGTGCATCACCAGATATAGCTGACAATTTTCTTTATCCACAGTTCTCAGTTTGTTTGCACGGCTTTGGCCAACCAATCAATTGCCTTGATGCTATTCAAAGGACAGCACTGTGAATGGCTCTTAACAAGTAACATGCTGATACAAATCTGAGCACTTCCAAGTTGTTGTTTTGTATAAAAAGTCAACAAGTTTCTGTTTTCGTTTTTTTTACAATATAACTGCATTTTAAATAAAAGGAAAACATACACAGTCATCAGAGAAATATCATTCCAAATATTTGCTTGTTTCTCTTATAGTCTCCTGGAACACTATTTTTGTCTTACCTGAAGGCCATAAGTTGAAGGCCATTATATTGGTCATAAGTAGCAGTCTTCACAAAAAAAAATCAAAAAAGAAAAAAAACCCATGCTTCTGTTCTTCTCTACTGGCTTTGCATTGTAGCAGACTGAAAACTGATACATTATTATTACAATAAAAGCTTTTTCTTCAGTTTCAGACTGGGCAAAGATGTGATAATCAGTGGCATCAGTGCCATGCCTCCTGTGATGCTCAATAAACCATTTGTTTTACCTGGATCAGATCATACATATACGTAAAGAACCATGAGTGTAATTTCTTTTAAGAGAGCTATTTTTGCCTCTTTTGTAGATGTCTGTTACTTTGAACTGCACTTAGATGTTATTGTGCCAACCATAAACCTAGACCAAGAGAAGACTTGGTTACAACAGCATTCAGGATGTTGAGTTTTATTTGACTACATGAGAAAAAAAAACATGCAGCAACCTGAACTACTGATACGGAACACAAGAACATCAGCTGCAGAAATTTTGGATGACATGTTTACAATGACACATTGCAGAAGACAACTAACTGTGGAACTCTTAGGAGGGCCTAAATATCTTCGAAGTTCCAAAGTGAAGTGACAGTCAAACAATGCATCAAAATATGACAATGACATAAGGGCATGTGGAACTGCCAGGCCCACACTCAGAAGCAGGTGAAAAGTTAGGAAGGATGAAACAGACTTATCAAAGAGAAATTAAGAGGCTCAGATAGAAAATCCTGTGAAATATGAAACAACAGTGTGATCCTAGATTGGGGTATGCTCAGTCACCTGGTACACCATTAATGTGTAGAACACCCATCACTGACACACTCATCACTGCTCAGTACCATTCTTAATTTCATCAATATTGAACTATTAATTAGAAGATGACTTTACTTATCATCTTCGGACTCAGAGACAATAAACTCGCACTGTTACATTTCAAATAATGGATAGAGACAAACTACATGCCAAATAAACAGCTTTAAAACCCTAAACATATTGAGTTTAGATAGTAGAGTTTCTGGCTGTCCCTGAGTTTCATTTATCAAAGGTTGCCCCTGCGTATTTGTAACTAGAATTTAGAGCTAATCAGATATGACAACAATTCTTGCATTTCTGGGATAGCTACTGAGATGGAGCATCACTACTGATGAATACTTGCAAATCAGAATGGTACAGATTCTGGAGAGTGATAAAGCATGATAAAAGTCTATTGTGCAGTTATTTCACAAAGACTACTGATAAAGAGCACATAATTTAGGACGCCAAGTGTACTGAAGCGATCAGTGATTTTTCTTTCCATTTTGGAAATTTGCTTTATTACTCCCATAGAAGTGTGAGAATACACTCCAGGCTAAAAACACTAACTTATTCAGAAGAAAAGAACAATGAATTGGATGATTCCACTGAGTGCCAAGTTTTGTCAGCTGTCCTTCATCTCATGAGTACTCCCAAAAATGATTTGACAAAGACTTATTTTAAGTGCAGAATGTGACACACAATGCATTGTGTCAAACTTAGATGGTGCAAGTAGGCAAATGATGGTATTAACTGTGTATGCTAGTTTATAACAAAATGTACTTAAAATCAAAACTATGATCAATGTTTTGTGCTCATCGTAGGAGGAAGAAGAGCAACAAGAGAGTATGCAACTGTAAAAGATTGGGTGTTGCTTATTTTATCTTTATGCTTGGAGAAGAATTAAATCTTGGATAAGTAATTATATTCACTTTACAAGAGCAGATCAAAGAGTTCTGATCTTAAAAAAGAGCTCTTTACTGCTTCTTTCACATGACCTCATCATGGTCAGTAAGCAATGCTAACGAGAAAGTTGGAATGGTTATAACTTGACTGATGAACACACTTGGTTCATGGAAGAGATCCAACACCTAGAATTGTCTCAAAAAGCTTTTGATGGTCTGTTAGCTTTTGCGTGAACTTTTCAGAAAGAAGAATTTCAATTTTTCTTCTTTTTTCAGTTCCCTCTGCAATGATCCTGAAACTGAGCGCTACCCCACCACCAAGCTCTCTTGCAAGAACAACAAACATTAGGATTATTCACCATACACTGTATTTATTACACCACAGAAGGGTCAGTCTGATCTCTTTCAATCTGAATTCCTCAAGTCTGAATTGGAAGCATCACAGAAATCAGCGCTCTGTATACAAGTGGCACAAAGGCTCTGAGTTATAACCATTTCTGTGCATTGAATCCACAGGAGAGACAGCAACATAGTCAAGAAGAAAGTGTGGTTCCATGTTATCTAGCAGAATCGGATGTGGTATGTACAGAATACACAGGTAATAAGACTGAAATCGTTGTCAGTGGTTATTCAAAACTCTCCACCAGCAGTTGTGTTAGCCATTGTATCTTCAAAATAATTTCCTGACCTTGTTTTCCTAACTTTAGAGGAGTCGAGTGCAAATATTTAGTAGAGATTTGAAGAACAGCAGTAATACAAATAGTAAAATTTGCTAAAACTGTATTACACTTCAAGTAGCTGGTAATACACTGTATCTGAAACACCTGGAACTGTAGTTATATACCAATATTCTAAAATACTAAATATTGTATAACTTCACATATAACTCTAGATAGTTTATTGTTGAAGTATAAGGCAGTACACAAATCAGAAATAGGAACATGCAAATAAATGGTAAAAAGGCAAATATCTTTTACAGTAGCATTCTTAAAGGATGCATCAAGCCCAGAGAATGGAAAGTTGAGCAAGCAATATTGCAGTTTAGGATATAGCTTTTAGCTGTGTGTGTGAAGAAGGAAAGGCTATATTGCAAGAAACGTTACATGAAAAAAAGGAATAGAGCAATAAGCACCAAATGAATGTAAGAATTCAGAAAAGTGGATCAAATTAAAGATGATTTCCGGCTATGGGAGTAAGTGACAGGCACAATGGCCATGTTATCCATGGTGATCCACAAAGGTGGCAATGAGAAATAGATTAAGAGCTCTGTTTTACCAATTTTAAACCTAAGCTGACGGGAAGACAGCCTGAGGAAATGTCAGAGATGAGCAGATTTTTTTTTTAAGCTTGCTTTGAAACTCTACTCCATTAAAATAAATATATAAAAATGACCAACTGCAAGGTTACCTGAAATTTCAAATTTAACTCAAAATACTTTAAAATATTCTTACTCTATAGCCATCATCATGTGTCAGCTCTCTTAATACATTTATGTTAACTGAATACAAAAGAAACGTGAAATAAATATAACCAGGAGGGATGATCAAATCTAATTTTGATACATTAGTGTCATATGCTGTACATGTTACAATAGCAGCCAGACTTAATACTAAGCTGCAGGCTATACTGAAATTTCCAAATGGCAGATTGTTCTAAGTGATACCAAGTATAATTGAAGTAATAAACGATAGTAAAAGCAAAGCACACTGTCAGGAAGAATTTAAGTATTTACTTTTTAAAATTAAATGAGTTAGGTTTGGAAAGGCAAGACAAGTGAAATAATGCAGGGCTCAATTTACAAAAAATTCCTTTTATTTATCTGTTGCATTAACCCTTGAACTCTTGCCAAAATTACTGTAATTTCTAATATTCACTTACCTAACGGAGGGAGAAAAAAGGCTATTATATTTCCTTCTGATACAGCAACATCCCCAAATTTGCTGCTTCTTCAAAAATTCAAGTGTTCATTATGAAAAGAACAGAAGAAGCAGAAACATCTGAAGTACTGGCATAATGAAGCTAGTTCTGCCCACTGAATGTAGGAAGCACTTCTTTATAGTATATATAGCCTCTGGTTTAATTTTTCACAAAACTTTCAGAACTACGGTATTGTGGTTTTTGTTGCTGTGTTTTTAGTTTTTTTCAAATGGCATGTGTACTTACTTGTAACTCAAAAAATATTGTACTAATAATTTACATCTATAAACACTCAACTCCCTGATACATCTTGATGCAGAATGAAAAACTAGCTACAAATGCTGAGAGTTATAATTCTTTTAGGACAACATCAAAGACAAACTAGAATCATGTAATAGAGCCAAGGCCCAATATGAATTAGTACCCCAATTTTTAATAACATTACTATTGCTTATTTATGCATCTTGTGCATAATTTCACCTACAATGCCTCCACTCCTCCATCTGACTAAGGAAGGAGGAGCCAAACAGTGATAAGGTAGAGGCAGAAATATGAGCTTTTTCACTCCATAAACTGAGTCTTCACAGCTTCATTAAACTGACATTTTCTTTGTAAGCTTGTCCTTGTAAGGCTGTTCAATTTAAATGCTTTTTAATCTAACTCTTAATTCAAAAAGAAACAAATTGGGTTATTTTATTGGTATTAAATCTTTAATTCAGTATTTTTAAATTTAGTGCATGCTTTAGATATGCATTTCAATGTTAAGTTCCTTTATATATTCACATTTTCATTTGTGCTTCCCAAATTCATGCCATTTCTTGTTCTCGTTCATGTCTTCAGTAACGAATGCTTCAGAGGTACTCAAGACATTTAAAAGTTTTATTTACTACTCTGTAAGATGGATGGAAAATAAGTTTAACATTGGGTTGGCCTCTGAAACAGCAGAATCTTGATTTTGTAGTAGCTGGACAGGCAGGAAGAAGTTTTGTTTTAATTTAATTTGATCTCCATTTATAAAATGGACCTATCATGCACCTCTAGGCACATTTACAGTATAAAAACAGCAGCAGTTCTAAGCCAAGTACTGGAAGTTTGCTTGTTTTTCTCTTTGAATGAAATAGATAAAGTACGTGAAAGACTTGCAGAGAAACTCAAAACTCAAGTTTCTTTTGAGGTCACGAACAGTACTGTGCTCAGCACAATTACAAAATGAAGTCCATTCTACTGAGTGTGACCTTGCAGAGGACATAAAATATATTTTTTTCTGACCCATCCACAGTGTAAGCAGCACAAGTAGTTCCAGAACCACTAAAAGACTTAAGCACTAAGCTTGCTTCCCTACTCATGACTCCTGACCCAACTTGATGATTCTAACCAAGATTCGAATTAGATGATTTTCTCTAATTTGGGATAACATTTATTACATCTTCTTGATGTCTAATGCTTCTTTCCATACAGTCTTTACCTTACAAGAAGGACTCAGCACTAACAGTCTCTCTTACTCCTTTACTTAGGCTATTTTCACTGAACATACATGAAATTAATACTTTCCAACCTGTCTCTGTTAAATTTGATTGAGATGGATTGAAATGGAGATATTAGAGAAGGGAGGAGAGATGTAAAGACACGCTCACAAGCCTTCACTCATTGGGAAACTGTTTAAATAAACAGAGAACAAATGTAGAGGAGGAACAGGAAAGAAAGCCACAGAGAGTAAAGGAGCTTGGTAACAGCCCATCAGCAGTACACTACAAATACAATTCCAACCTTCTGATATATACTCCACTGACATATCCATACAGACCTCAAATATTCCTAATTACTAAAAAGAGAGACTGTGAAAGAGAATAGAAATGGGCCTGGGGCAAATTGGAGCTGTTAGAAAGTCCAGTTGACACCACTTTCACAAGTTAAATCACAGAAGGCCTGGACAAGCACTGAACCTTCTGTGGTAGAACAGCTATATGCAGATTCAGAGCGCTCCTGGAAACAGACATGAGATCTTTCCTGTGTGTTCTGCTGAAGCCTACAGCATTTGAAAATTATTTGAGAAAAATTAATTTTCATTGTGATCAATCTTTCTCCTTTCCAACACTTTGTAATCCTCTAATCCAAACATTACATGCAACGTTAGTAAACATAATTATAAGCTGTGTTGCACAAAATCAAATTTCTTTTAAAACATACAGAAGCCAGTTAACATAACAGCATACGTTGTAGCAATATATACTGCTTTAAATTAGAACAAAAGCAGCAACCTTATTTTAAAGTTAGTCATATTATCTATTAAACCACTCTTATAAATCACTAACAATCTATTACTCTGGCTATACTTAATGAAATAAAGAACAGGAAGGACCCAGCACTACAGGCACACAAAAAGAAATATCTTTAATTAAAAAACAAACAAACAAAAACCAACTGCCTAAAATGAAGCAGTGAGAAGTTAGAATCCGCAGTTAGTCTATAATAACAAGAACAACAATTATATTTTTTTCTTCAAGTTGAACACAAGGAACAAAAAGTCATTAATAACTGAAGTTTGCCAGAGGCATGGCTATTACTCTCTTTACTGACTGTCTGTTGTCTAATTTAATTGCAAGTATTAAACTCCACGCTGAGGTCAACCAGCTTCAGTTCCTTCAATATTACACTTCAACCTGTGCTCATTAACGTGTCTACTGAATGGATTAACACATCTGAAGATGTATGTATGTAGGACAGGGGACAATCTAATGATAGCCAATTGTTCATTTATAACAGGACGTGTTCGAGGAGGTAACTTATTCACACTAATATGGAATTTATTAAATTCTGAAGAAAAAATACCAATACAGAATATCATTATTTTCTTAGCATGGCAACAAGAGATTCTATCACTCTTGAACGTTTGTGTCTGTTCCAAAACAAAACACCACATATATGACAAGCATGGTCAAATTAATATTTTAAACTTTTTAAGGGGAAAATTAGTTTAACAGGCAGCGTGTGACCCTTCAATAAATAAAAAGTCATTTTTTGAAAGTACTCACTGTATATTTATCGATTGGCATTCAAAGACTCAAATATATAAAAAAAACAATTTTATGCACTCTCTTCATTAACACAAACACTTCCTTCATTTTTCACCAGTATTCATATGATCGCACCAGTATTTGCAATAATCTCAAAATTCACCATTTTGACAGATAGTTTACATGGCTTAATCTCCTTCTGTAAAATATCCACTATCAGCAAGTAAATGTATCATGTTTTATGATTTATTTCTTAAGACAAAACTACTGAATTTTCATTTAGAATGATCTTTGCTTCCCTAGTTTTATTACTGCATGGAAATCTTTTATTCAGAAACACGTACCTTTTTTGTTAGAGAGTCATCTGAATCAGAAGGCATTCTTGTTGACACATGGAACATTACTTCTACTGTTGAGGTAGCAAAATATGGAGTAGTCAATCCAGTACTTTTGTTTTTTTGCAGTCCTCCCATAAAACCACAATGGTTTGTGAGATTTACCTAAAAATAAAGTCCAGGAGACATTAGGGGGAAAAAAAAAAGATTGGGTGATAAATACAAACTTCATATACAACTTTTTTGTTTTAAATCCACTTTCAACTGAATTTTAAAAATTGATGGCTGCTTTTCATAGCCAGCCAGAAGCAGGAGTGATTCCTGTATTTCAGTGAGAAAGAGCTGTTTCTTAGGAAGTTAATCTTTTGCAGTCAGAAACAAAGGACACGAAAAGGGAAATCTTTTTAGCAATATCAGAATACTGACTGAAGAGCTGAAGTGCTGTAGAGATGATGGGGTATATGACAGCATTTCTGACTGCAGGAACAGATATGTTAAGAGAGTGGAGTGTTTGTGAACATACACATATCTGCAGTGGAAGGGAGTTAGAAGAGAACATGAGTAAAGATGCATTCTCATATTTTTAGGATTCACAAATTTGAACAAAACTAAAACTTCAGTGAACTTCATACCTTACAGGCCCACAGGGCAACCAAAATACCTCCCCATTAGTCCATGAAGTACAGAATTGCATATTAATGAATAATCCCTGCCTGCATGAACTTTTCTAAATTGGAAGAACTTAGAATTAAATATCTAGTACTGCTAACGAAATTAGAATTCTTCTCAGCATCCTATTAGAGAAACAGTACTTGTAAGTAATTTAAAGAGCCAAAGAACTGTAGGAATATATCTTTTTCTCTGTAAAAAAATTTAGAATTAAAAAATTGAATAAATACCTCCCAACCAAGGCCAGCTACAAAATCCTCATAGGCTTGACTTCCCCCAGTATTAGTAAGAATGGAGTGTTTATCTTCTTGTCCCTCAGCAACATAAAACACTGCAATCTTGTGGGTCTCTCGGCTGTAAAAAATGGAGTGGTCACCACATAACAGTGCCTTTGCTAATATGAAACCAAAATACGCAAACACTACACAGAAAGCATGGGTTTTTAAATTTCAAACAAGCCTGTGGAAGTAAAGTACAGCTATACAACTTTTTAATTCTATGCTACAACTCCACCCACAATTCCATGCCTTCAAATACAAACGGTGTCGGAAAACAGCTAAACTAAAACAGTAGACAATTACATATTGATGTTTTAAAACTATCCCATGTTATACATATCCAGGTGTTAGTAAATTCAAGTTATTTTGAAACTTGTTCTATTTCATGATATTTGACTGTAGATATTTGTAGATTTTCACTCTACAAGTAACATTAACATAACTTCAGTGTAACAATAGCTACAACATACTGCAATATATAAAAAAAGTTTAAAAAATTATTTTTAACTTCAGCTCAATTCTCCCATCTAACGCAAATTACAGCCATTTAAATACAAGCACGTGAAACAAATAAGGTAGGGTAGCGATTAGAAGAATTTACCACTGTCTTGAGTCCAAATTTCTGAGCTCTCGAAGTAACTTCTCATTTTTCTTCAGGAGATGAAAGCTCCTTCTAAACAGAAAAATTTGTAACTTTATTACTTGTTCAGTTATGAAACGTCAGAACAGTAAACAAACTGAACAAGAACATTGCCAAGTCCAAATAAAAACAGCCAACAAATGCTTCTGCCTTTTCAACTATCCTTTCTTACATAAAATGATTAAGGTACCTTAAAAAAAAAATCTAAGCCATTTTTAACTCCAGGAAATCTTCTATATCCATTATAATCTTGAAAGCAAACTTTCTTTCTTTATGTCTTCTTCATTCAACCTACTGGATACAGCAGCAATCAATCTGCTCCTGCAGAAGAATGGGCAGAATGTCTTTTGACACCTATGCAATCTGCACATTTTACTAGCCCAAAACATTTGCGCTTAGTGACAAAAGACACTCCTGCAATCCACTGTTTTAGGGAGTTGGTGTGTTAAATACTGAGCTTTTGCTCTTCTGAATTACAGAAGAGAACAGAATATAGCTCAGAAGCCACCCAGCCAGCTGTAACAATGTAAGGAAAAAACAAAACAATGTTACAGTGAGGAAGGCACTTCTAAAAATAAAAAAAGCACTTTAAATATTCCCTATAAAACACAGTGGAATGAATTTAAGAGCAGTGGTGTTCAAAAACAGCCTGCCTTGAGGAGTTAAAGGTCATAATACCAAAATTTTTGAAGTAAAAAAAAATTTGATTCCAGTAGTAACTCAGTGAACTAAGTTACAGAATATCCATTTTCCTTCCAAGTGAGAGAATATTTCAGTGTCTGCAATACAGAATCTGACAGATATGGCAAAAGAAGGTTTCAGACTCTTAAATTCTAGGATGCTAATATTTTACATATCTACATCTATGTGCACATATATCCAAATACAGCTAAACACAAATCATAATGATAACATAAGCAGAGACATTTAAGTTCATAACCAAAAGTGGCTTGTCTCCTGTTCTAAACAATACCTCAACATTGCCAATGTGAAAATAAATAGCAGAAGACACTTTTCTAGTTAGCTAACAAGGAAGCTGCATGCAAGCATGCTTTTAGCAGGCAAAGCAGCAGGACACCATCCAGCAACACAATAGCTGAGAATGTGACACTTTGAAAGACTCATTCTGGCACAGAAATGGAACAATTTTTACAAGAACATACACAGGAAGCAAAGAAAGTAAAAATATGCCATGTCTATCCATGGTAGTACATCTTAGCTGATGAAAGGATTATTAGAAAAGATACAACTCCTTCAAATCTCCCTCCAACACTAAGAATTAAAGTAGCAATAAAGGCAATAGGCTTCTCCTTTACGTCTCCCTAAATGACAGGCTGAAATACACAAGAAAACTGCCACTTTCCTTTAGCTGCAAGTTGCAAAATCCCTCTGCTTTTGTTGTCTGGCCAAGAATATTTTTGGCTGAACCTACTCTATGAACAACTATTATTACACAGTATGAGCAGCGCAATTCTTTCAAAAAGAGTTCATAAAAACGCGGTTTCATCTTTTCTTTTTACCTTTTATCCCAAGAATTCATTCCCAGTATACTGAGAAGCAGTCTGCAGTAGTAAAATGCTGACTGGGGCTTTTGCGATGTTGGCTCATCCTGCTCCATAGCCCTCATATTTAAATCATTGAAATGTTTTTCAACAAACTCTCTTTCTTCTGTGTGCTGTTTCAGAATTGCATTGATGACGTCATTCTCCTGCTTCTCTGAGATGCAGACTGGTTGGGGAGCAGGAATGTTGAGTGAGACTCCAGTTCTCTGTAAGCATTCAGGGCTTGTAACACCTAAATACTGCAGGAGCTCATCAAGGGCATCTTCTTCATCCCTAATTGTATCCCATGTTGGTACAGTGTCTCTGAATTTCTTTTTTACTTGGAGTGTAATTCCATCCCTTGCAGATATATCTTCCACATGCTCAAAAGAAGAAAGAGGATCTTCAGTTTTTTCTTGTTGAGATAATGAAAGGGCAAAAGATGTTTGTTGTGAAGATGCACATAAGGATGACGGTCCATACAAAATGGCTGAGTCCCATGAGTATTTGCCAGACAGATCTCGCACTATAATTCTGACATTTGAATTAGCAGATGCAAGTCCAGCAGACAGTCCTCCCCCAGGCATGTCATCTTCTGCTTGGATTTGTATGCAAGACACCAAGGAAGTATTGTTTAACACAAAGAATTGAAGGTTTGGATTCTCAAAAAGTTCCGGAGAAAGTTCAGGACTTTCACTGTATGGATTGTCATTATTTTCACACACTTGACTAGTTAGCATAGCAGGTCCTCCACTCATAGGATAGTGGCCTAAGTGGTTGACTAGATGTGTGATCACAGTACGAGCAGCAACAGAAATTAATCCTTGTTGCATGTGAGTTTTCACTGTGAGAGAAAGAACATAGGTTTTCAAGTTAAGAGTTAAGGAAACAACACTGAGATTTGTTTTTTTGACCTCTTACTTCTTGGGAGTTTAAAAGAAAGCATAAGCAATGCAAATAGCATGGTAATATTAGGAAAATATGTTTTTTGATAAACATTGATTTGATATATAACTAGCATGAAAAGTCTTAACACAATTAAAGAAGCATCTTAATTATTTTACAGCCTGCCATACTTCCTTATCATATGTTGGTAATCAGCATGGTCCTAAAATAAACAGTAGCATTCTTTAGTCTAGTGAAAATAAATCTTAAATTACTAATGAAGTAGAGATCATATTTATGTTGTAAGAAAATAATTTCAAATTGCAATTTATTTATTTATTTATTTTAATGATTTCTACACACCATTAACCCTATACAAAGCAAAGGAACATAGATGGACAAAATCTCTAACTCATCTTAATTTCTCTGGGGAGCATATAGGTGCAGATTAGGTTGACAATAACACTAGATAATTTTAAAGTACCACAGCAAAGGCTACCTTTACTGAACATAATAACATTAGCAATGTTTAAAGAAAAAAAAAAAAAGATACAACTCACACCCTAATTGAATTTTTAAAAGTTTCTCTCCAAGTTTTTCCAGTTGGAAAGAGAAGTTAAAAGTGCCCATCTTATATTTATCCTGTGAAATTTACTGGTATATCTCTAAGGCTTTGCCACTTACATTATCTCTTGGATACCTTCCACTTGTATACAACACTATTTAAATTTTTGTAATGCATCATGATTGCCATGACAGTTAGTTTCTGAAGTACTGGATGTATTTAGTATCTGCAGAAGTAAACAAGTTCCCTTTTATATTTCTCCCAAGGTTTGGGTAAAGCACGTAAGGAACACTTGGATTCCTGGCTCTTCCATACCTTTTAGGGAGCACCAGATTTGAACTGCAAAAAGCGAAACATCTCTGCCTGTTAATAACTGGTAAAATCAACTTAATTTATACTCTGTTCCAAAACTCAAAAAACTCAAATATTTTGATGAGTTAAGGTCTTGGAAACTGATAAAAACAAATTTGATAATATGTGTGGATTTTTTTTTTTTTTTTTTTTTTTTTTTAGATTATCCACAGCCTTCTTGTGGTTTAAAAATTAATAAACAAAAATATTCAGTGAAGCTGAATTAAATGCTCAGATACTGATAGCATACAAGGAAATTAAGTTATAGTGCCATCTGCTGAAACATAAGAAGGAATTGTAAGCAAATGTATACAAGACAAAGAGAAATTAAGTTAGATGCTTGGAGAATAATTTACTAACGCAGTACTAGCCAGCACCTGGAGATGAAGATGCAGGCTCATCTTAGTCAGCAGATTTATGCCAAATGTTTACAGCTCGGTAATGTACAGATATGTAAGAAAATACATTTCTCAGGTTCCTAGGAGCAGATGCGAGCTTCCCATCTAGGTGAAGTCTCACACTGAGTAGGTTAATTGCATTCAGTGTATTCAGAGGTAATGAAACAACCAAAGAAATGAGGGATTCCATAGTTTGTAAGATATCACTATTACTGCTTTCTGGCAAATCCTAAAAATCTCAAACCATATAATGATTGCTTTGTGTCCGTATTACTAAAGATACTCCCTTATGAGCTTCACGACATACAGAAAGGAAAGGTGATATAATGATACAAAGAACGATACTACCACAGTGATTCTGTAAAAATTTTACTCTTGAATTTAAATCAAAGAAAAAAGGAATATAAATCTACAAAAGCCTCTTCTAAAAATCAGTACGGTACTTCTCACTTCTCAGTTTCGAATCAAATTTGTAACAGAAAGGACACATTTTAGCATTTTGATCATCGAAGCACACCTCCTCAAACAGGAACAACTGGACATTCTACTAGGATTCTTAAAATGCATATCCAAACCACATACTGTGTTTCTGCAGGGCATATCAAAATATGCAATAATGCAACCATCAGAACTTTACCACAAATTCTACAAACTAAATCGCACCATTACACATTACTGGCTTCTTTGCCAATATGTATTACTGACTGAACACATCTCTGCTCTCTTCACAATGGTACAGTCTCTCACTTGGGCAATGCAATTTGTATGTGTACATGATCACTTGGTAATTTGCTAGAAGCATGTTATATTGGCTATTTTTCTCAGTTCCTGAAATTACCTCTTTTGTGAGAAGAATGAAGGTCTATCACCACTAATTTGTATCAGTGCCAGGAATGGATGATTCCTGAATTTCCTTAGGATGTGTTGTTAACTCTTTACTTCAACTTTGGCCGAACAGCTTCTAAACAACTGCAGTTACATAGTAGAAGGAAAAAGTAATGACTGAAGGCAAGTTTAACTCTGTTTATCCTTTCAGCTACCTAAAAGAATGATGCACCTGTACATAGTGATTCATCTCAGTAATAAACACAAATTGGAGAAATGAGACTCCAGAAATGAGAAATCATTCTCTGGAAATTTCCCTTTTTCTCCATTACTTTTACAAGGAGCCTTAGAGAATTCAACATAGCTTAGATACCTAAATTTTACACTAGATTATGAAAATCTTTACCTGTTCTATTTTTAAGCTACGGACATAGGAAGAACCTCTGTTTAGAATAAATTTCACAAAACACAAATTGTGCTGATCTGGATGTACCATGCATAAACTATTTTTTTAAAAGGTGTTTTTTTCTTTTTTGTCTTGTTCCAGTAAAAAAGGCAATCAGCATCAAAGCTTTAAAAGTAAAGCAGAAGTACATAATTTTCCTAATTTTTAAAGAAAAGACTATAAATTTATATTGGATGGAGAAGATCATTTACTTAGAAATTGAAACATACTAGGAAAAATATTCGGTATAAACAAAACTGTTAAAAAAGTGTCTGAAGAAATGAGAGAAATGGGAAAAAATACACAAAGTCAATAACTGATATCACTGAAACTATGTGATGGAACTACTGTCTTTCCAATCTCATTTATCCCTAACAGATTTGTGATCTATAAATAACAGGACTAGAAGTGTTTCTGCCCAAAATTGCAAAAAATTCCTTTAAAATATTATTTCCTTCCAACTAGAATTCATTGGTCTGATTTTGCTATTAATCAATATTGGAAGATAGGTAGCAGATGTTCACATATTTTCATGTAACCACCTTTCTCACTTATGTTAGTATCACAAAAAACCCTCAATTTTACCTCTCATAAATGTTTTCTTCATTTAATATAAACAATTAAAAATATAGTTGTCTTCTCTCCTGCTGTTGCCTATTTCCAGAGAATTTAATAAATCTTTGTCCTGTTATTTATTGGCAGCTTGTTCTAACCTCCAAATAGATCTTGTCCCCACAGTACAGCTGTATCATAGATACACAAACACAAGTCCCACATACTTGTCTCATCCTGCATCATAGTGCGGGTAAGAGTCCATAAAACGAACTGACACATAACTGTAACACGACTGATCTTGAACAGTGGGAGGCAGAAGTGGGTATGTCAGTCATTTCTTCAACTGATAAAAACCATCCTGTCTTTAAAATAATGCTTTTTCAGTGCTTTCATTTTTGCTTGTGATCTTAAGGAAAGTGTCTAGCAATCCCCATCCTGTCTTTGATTTCCCTAAAACTGTTGTTTTACCTGTTTCCATAATCTTCAAAAAAATACGATAGTACTTGTACTCTACTAAGTAAGAAATTGACCCACTGGCACACTACTCCGCTGCTAGTTTGCGCTACCTGACTCCCCTTGTTCTTGAATGAGTCCCAGACTGGTCACTACACACTAACTTTACACCCCTCAATGCCAGATAGAACAGATGTTTTGTGATGGTTTAGAAAACGCCAGTGTAGGCTAGAAGTGCCATGGTTGCAAGACCAGGGTTGCATTATAGCACTGTCATCTGCCAACTAAATTTCACAAACTGACTTAAAATTCCAGAGCTCTGAAACTTTAAAAACATGTGGGCTTCTTTAACTCATCTGGACAGAGAAAAGCAACACCTGAAATTACTTTTATTTAGAAATTTAACAAGAAATCATAAAAGAACAGATCACATACAGAAATGTGAAATGAAGATATCGATGCTAAGGCTTTGTGCAACTGCATTCATTTAAAGAGAAATCTATTCAGGGTTGTCTTTTCAGATTGTCAGATTAAACAAGCCATACAGCATTTGCTGCAAACCCATAATTACAGATTATTACAGAATACAAAAGATGCCAGGCATAAAAAGCTACTACAATTCTCCACACTGTAATAGAACATGCGGTGGAAGTTAATTTTGGCAAATGCTTTAAATATTAGCTTTACATAATATGTATAGGTGAGACTGTAATTAGGACAGAATGAATCTTTCGAAGCCTCTTTCATTCTGACCCAGCAGATGATTACTTTTTACTAATAAGAACCACAGCCATTTGACAAAAAGCCAACTATAGTACCTTGCTTCATTCTTCAGTAAATTTAATAATTACAGCTCCTCCTGCCAATAGTTCTCAAATCAGACTTGTTCAATCCAATACTGAGCTTATTAGGGGACAGCTCTATGTTTAGAATTCTTTGGCCAAAAAAGTACTTGAGGATGATGAAGCATGCCTTAGACAAGGGCACAATGATTAGCCATTTTCTCTACATAAAAAACAGCACGTAGTCACTACAGACCACAAAATCACCTGCTGTTAGCACACAGCTGCTACAAAGAGCTTCTGCATTTATCTGGTTCTTAATACCTTTAAGGAAGCCTAAATGGAACAACTTAATATGGTTGGAGAATAGCACTACACAGAGTTTCTGGTGCCTGTATTAATCTCATCTTTTCCAATTTTCTTCCTGATGTAGCCATTTCATATCTACTAGATATGCTGTATAATACTGCTCTTCTGTATCTTAGTTTCTTGATTTATTTTTGTTTTTGAGATCTGAAGAAAAAGTTAATTCCCAGGTCTCTTAAGGTTCCAAACAAATCAGAGAAAATTTATCTTCTAAAAGCATAAAGAGATCAACAACAAAGTATAATAAGTAAAAAAAAAAGATCAGCAGCAAACTTAAAATATTGCAAGCTTAGAAAAGAAAAAAGTCCAAAATTCTCTCAGAAAAAGGAATAAAATTGAAAAAAAAAAAAAAAAGTTACTGAAAGTAACTGCTGAAAAATAATGCTTGTTCATGTTCCAGTACTCAAATTTTTTTGTTGATACAGAGCACAGAAGAATCCATATCAAATTGATCTTCACATTCTTCAGAAGATACTTACTGCAGTTAATCAAATAGCAATTGTTCAAAATTATGTTGCTACGTAGTGTCAAGGTATGACTTAAAACTCATGCTTTAAACAAACACTTTAGTAGTGGAAAACAAGGTTAAAACTTTCTTGAAAGAAAATATACTTAAGCAGTTTGACAAACCTTCGGTGACTGGTTGAAGTTTAGAAGAACGCTCCGAGTCTGGAGAATGCAGTGGTTCTGGCTCCTTCAAGCTTTCTAAATGCATAAAAGGATCATAATCCACACATGCCAAATCAGAAAGACTTAGGGGAAAATATTTGGGGTTACTAAAACACTGAGATCCATAGACACATCCATGTAGAACCTAGAACAAAAACAGGATTTCATTACATTAATTACTGAAATTTCTATTTGGTGGCTTTATAAGAATTAGATTTAGTTTTATTTACACTGAAATTAATTTGTTAGAAGTAGATAGGCAGGACAAAATCCTGGAAATTTTAGATGCTTGATATTTACAGAAACAAACCCATATCTGTAAAGATAACTTTGCTATGCTTATTGATAAGAAAATTGTTTGGTATGTAAAAGCTACATCTTCGTATGCCTTAAATGCATGGCTGGTCTTCTGCAACACAAGTGTATGCTACTGGTATGGCATATATATTCTAATATAGTTAATCACAAAGTGGTAAGACAATATCAAGAATTCCAAATATACCAATGATCACACAGAGTTAATAACAAAATGTACAAGATTTAAGACAGCACTCCAAATTTCAGTGGTAAAATGAGGTTAGTTTACAGAAAAGTTCTGTCTTTGTTTTCATGAAAGCCGATGCTTCCTTCATGTCTAGAAATTCTGATTTAGCAAGTAAAGAAACACGTACCTTATAAATACAATTGAGAACAGATCTCTCAGTCTTATCATTTTCTGCTCCTGTAGCGTGAAGAGGCTGCAGCAAGGTCTTTAATGGCAAGGCCATTATCCAATCCAATAAGCACAGAAGTAAGGAAACTACCAACTATAACAAACACTTTCCATTACAAATCAATTAAAACAGCACTTGTGACCTCACAGTTATCCCTGTACTTTATTTCTGTTTCGCTTTCTTTTCTCAATTTAGAGAACCTGGCAAACTTACACAGAAATTACAGGTCACATTTGTTTAAAAACCACAGTATGTTCAAATACTATATGAGTAAAATTTTTAGGTTTATTTTAATAATTAAACATTTTAAAAAAGATTATCCATACAACACTTTCTCACTATGACAAATCACTAAGTGGCTACAGTGCTTATGAGGATACCCTGATTCTTCAGAATTGGTCTGCAGGATGCTGTTTACAAAATGACAGATTGGACACATACAAGTTAATGCAGACATACTATTCTGAATGTAAATCCACTTTAAAGTGAGTCAAGGATTACACAAAAGTGGACAAATTCACATACATTTACCGTTTTACAAATGATAGAGAATTTCTTTTACAACTTGTCAATGTTGCTACACAGAATGAGGTATCGTCTGACAGTAATACAACTGCTTTCTGTATTGTACTCTACTCAGTCAGCAAAACAACCAACTCCCTCTAGGGGATATTTTAAAAGACTAGAACAGAGATAGATTAAGACACACGCCAAATTATTAATAACTTACTACAAATATTTGCCTTAAACTTTTAAAATTTAGCTATGAAAGAGGAAAAAACTCAGATAAACAGATGCGGGATTCTCTAAAATATTTTCCAAATGTACATCTTTCAAAGAAAATCCACCTAAGCAATTCACTAACAAAAGATGCATAAACATCTTAATCGCTTCATGTAATACACTGCAACTTTGCCTCGCAAAGACACCATAAAATAAACTGAACAATGAATGTCTCCAATTATTTTTACATTAAACCAATTAGGACTAAGTTTGTCAAAATATTTCAACATATTTTTGGTGCATTTTTGATGCAGTATTTGGCATAAAACGGTCAGCATTCATTCATTCATGGGGAATGTTTTCGTATATGGGAATCATCCCCAAGTTGAAAGTTGGTTAACATTATATGCTTCAATATTCTACAACAGATACTGACTTCTCAAGCAAAGAGGAGAGATGAAATGGAGATCTGCTGGCCAAAATGATCAACACATGAATTGCAGTTCAAAATTTAAATGACCGTTGTGTCCCACAGCTCTTGCTCCCCTAGTCCAAGAACAAAGCCAAATACAAAGACTGGTCTGAAAATAGTGGTGATAGCAGGTTACCTCTGCTGGTGCAAATTTTTATGAGCACAGCATGGAGGCTCTTGTTCTTCACTGAAAATGCAAAGCTAATGGAGGTGACTATATTAAAAATATTATTTTGTAGTTGAGAATTTGCTTTATTAAACAGCATCATTACAATCCTTTTATCTGTTGGAAATAAATAGGACAGATTACTTTTGGAGCAACCTACATAATTCAGAGAAGACAAAACTTTCTGGAGGCAGAAAGCACGACTGAGAGTATAAGATGGTTGAAGAAAGAGTCCATCATAAACAGGGGACTCAGATCCACTGAAAATATGAAAAGACAGCAATTGTTTTGGAGGATGTCAACAATTAAATTCATCTGAATATTACAGACTGTCTCGTTGAAAAATTTACTTGAAATAATAAAAATTCACAACCTTTTGAGTATTTTGAAATGTACTCCTAAGAAGTTGAAAATATATTTTCAGTATAAGCCAAGTCTGAAAAGTCTACCTTGCTTAACTTAAGGATAGAAGAAGGAGACATTCTAATGACTGAAAGCAATCTATTTCGATTAATTTTAAATTATATTTTTCAGCAAACAAAATCAGAAAGTCATTTGCAAAGAGAATACTGTTGTAAGTCTGGGAAGACAATACTGCATTATATTTACTAAGCTGGATTCCTGCTCTAAAGGAATATCTTAAATTTTGTAACAGAACTGTTACACAATTGTAAGTTACTTGTAAGTTACAAGGAACTGAAAATGTTTACCCTCTTGTCCTGTTCATAGGATGAAGCTTCTGTACCAGGTAGCAGATGGGTAATTGTTGCTATCAGAATCTGGAGAAAATACAACACAGTTTCTTTACAACTAGAAATAATAAAGTACTTAAGTTTAAAGTGATTTTTTAAGCACGTAAATAGGACAATACTAGACTCATAGCTGAATTACATTTAGGTTATTTTAAGACAAATCATAGTATTCCTCGCCATTTTTTTTATTTTATAAATAAAACCCTTTTAATTGAATGCAAGGAAAATGTTATGTATGACTGACTTAAGTTCACAGTATCACAAAATCTTTAGGTTCAATGCACTTACATGGCTACTCCAAATACTCAGGCAGGAAGATAACTTAATTCCACATATTTGTAGGGTGCAGGAATTATCCTGATGGTTTGTGTATGGGACCATACTAATTTCATTATTTCTTGAAATACTAGAACTTGTAAACAACCTCTTTTCAGTTAATCAATAATATGACTGCACAGGAGCAGAGATATCCTTCTTATGCCTTTCAAGAAGCTTCCACACAATTCCCTTTCTGGTTACCTGGGAGACCTCTATTTTTTTCTGCTCCAACTCACAGAGGCCACAGCCTAATTCCTCATTATTTGAAGTGTATTAAAGAAAAATATATTTGCTTTATACTGACACATCAGTTGATATGCAAAATACAATTGCAGATGCCTATTAAATAGCTGCTTTCTTACTAAATTTAAACATACATATTTGCCATTATCTAATATAAAATAATTTACTTAATTTAAAATATGCTCATCTAAATAATGATGAAGTTATCCTGGAGAAAAAAAAACATGCTAAAGCCATTTTACATGTTAATATTGGAGACAGTAAATAAATGTTACATGAATCCATACCGTTGATGTTCAGTAAGATAGTATCAGTTTTACATTTTGTGAAACACACTTGTCAATACTGTGGTATTTTAATTTTAGTGAAATATATCTTACTGCTACTTTAAAATAAAAAATAAATTACTTACTTGAATAATTCTTAAAGGTGAATCAGCTTGATACACTTGAAGTCTATGCACATAATGTATCAGCATGTTCAGCATACTGCAGGCAACTTGAGCTACTGTTTTATTTGGAAACTAGAAAAGAACACAGTGCAGTAATGATGACTGTGACTTCATGTAATAGTATGTTAGGTGGTAACGTGGTCAGGAATTCCTATGATGGAATTAATCCAACATGTGACTCTCATGTATTCTTTGCAGGAGAAACAACTTTTGCAAAATATAAAAGAAACGATTTTATAATCCTAAACAAATGTTATCAGCTAACATCCAAGCTCTGGATCAGACCACAAGTAAGTTGCACAGAATGAAGGAAATGGGAAAGAACTCTTCGAAGTTTAACCTCAAACTGGTTAGGATAATACCATGAAGCCAGAACAAACAAATTAACTTCTTACCTGCATTATTATTAATATTAACATATCACTGAAGAAAAACCCAGGATTCTGAAATCAGAGGTCTTTGTTGAGAACTGACGTAGGTGAACAGTCAAGTATCTAATGTACAAGACACAGTACTAAAAATAGTGAGATTAATTGTTCAGTTATTTGTTAGTGACTGCTACACACAGTACTTGTCTGAATGGAAATGAATGCACTCTGGTTTCTATACTCCTCCTCTTTTCTGTACTCTTTTAAATGTTGGAAAATGTTATTACATAGGAGCCTGGTTTAAACAGCTCCTGAACTGTTATGGTCAAGGCAGACATGAGTGCATTTGTGCAATTACTCTCCATTCTTGCTAGTTGATGTACATGCTGCCCTAGATTCCTATGAGGAAAAACAAAGAAAAGAAAAGGCAGAGGTGTATTTCTCTAAAGTGTTGATGCACAGGAAATGTAACTGAGGTGTCTTCCTGTGTTATAGTTGCATTAAAACTATATATAAACTGTGCATCAAATATCAAACACAAATTCAATTCTACAAGGGAATTTTATTCATCCAGCACATGAAAATTCCACAGATCTGAGCTTAAGATATAATTCAAATTGGTTATTAGCATAGTCAAACTACAGACTTTTAAAGACAGCACAGAATTCACAGAAGAAAAAATTACACGCAATGGCCTCAAAGTTTTGGGGAAGGGAAGGACTTCAAATATATTCTTGTTACTTAAGTACTATCTTCAGTGAAAACAAGTACTCCAAACCTTATTTCTAAGAAATCATATATCACCCAGCAGATAGTTAGGTACTACTGTTTTTATCAGGAAAAAATCCTATTTTATTTATCTGATAAAGATGAGTAACTTTAGAATTCCTCCTTTATTGAAAGACTAATAAATTAGTTTACATGTTCTAATCTCACTTACTTAGCAGTGAAGCTATGACAGATGTGTGCTGCAAGGTGGCCAAGTGCTGACCTCTGAATTCAGAATAATTACGTTATAAAAATAGTTAGATCTAGTTCATTGGCTTCTTAGATTGTGTTCTTTAACTTTAAACCTCAATGCAAACTCTTGATCAGTCTTTGGATTCTTTATTTTTTTTTTTTTCTTAACAAATCCTGGCCTGAGTGACCTTGTCTGGGAGTGAGTATAGAACTTCACCACAGAAAATCACACATCTTCCAGTGCTTCCATGCATGTGATGCAGGCACTATACCTACCTCTACACATCTGGTGATGTCTGAGAAACTATACTACATAATGCAATGGCTTGCAAATTTAGAAGTGAACACACACAGAATGTAGGTGGATAGGATTTTGTGGTCAAGGTAAAACACATCACAAAAGTGTTAGTCTCTCACCTTTAAAGAAACACAAATCACATTCAAGGCTTCCTTGATCTGAGGATGATGAGATTCATGAACTAGCTCCTCACAGATCCAAATACCAAGGCTGCAAAGAGCAACGCATCTGCAAAACAATGTTGGAGGATAAATAACTTGAAAGGCACACTACAAGAATATGCACACTTTTTGTTTTCATGATATGTCTTGCTGAAGCCTAATAAAGTTTCTTTCTACACCAGAGACCTTTATAGTCCTGTAACTTAAAAAAAAAAAACAATAAATCCTAGCTACCTCTGTCAAGGCACAGGGAAGGAAGGACTAACTCAAAAATCAAAAAGCAATTAAAAACTCCTGTATCTCTGCTTGTTTTATGGATTTAAAATATTTTTCTTAACATTTATAAATATTTTAATTTCTTGAATTAACACCTTGAATTAATATCTTATCTTCAAAAAGTATTTTATTAAGATAAAGAAAAAACTGCGGAGCAAAGTCTTCATACCCAGTGTGAGTTTGTTCATACTTGCTTAAAGCTTCTGAGACAAATAAATGGGAGAGGGGTACCTTATTACTTCACATGTGTTTAAGTATTTTTAGATTGGCAATAACCAAGGATGAATGGAAGAAGAGTAAATGAACACTAAAGACTGTATGCATTCTGATTAAATATTAAAACTAACTTTTATTGTTGCTTCCTCCTCTAAAATCTGGAAATAGAACCATAGAATCACAGAATGGCCTGGGTTGAAAAGATCATCCAGTTTCAACCCCCCCTGCAATATACAGGGTCATCAATCACCAGACCAGGCTGCCCAGAGCCACATCCAGCCTGGCCCTGAATGCCCCCAGGGATGGGGATGGGGCATCCACAAACTCCTTGGGCAACCTGTTCCAGTGCGTTACCACTCTCTGAGTGAAAAAGTGTAAAGAATAATTTCAAGAAGTAATTACACAAAATACTCGGTTAACACTTGCTTACAACACCACACTGTATGATAACTGTGACGTAGTATTGTAGATGGGGAGACATGTAAGGCTGGTCTGCTTTAAGAAGGCAAAAGAAGCAAAAACGGAATGCCTAGAATGTGACAGACTGCATCAAGATGTTCCCCTCTGTCTTCCTTATCTGTGCGAGCAGAGACTTCTTGACTGTCCTTGCATTCCACAGCAATCTTTAGGACAAAAGGACTATTGAGAGGAAGTAAACGATCATCCCAAGGACTAAGAATGGACTGACAATGGACCATCAAGGTGCTAAAAGGCTAGATGACACTGAAGATCGCCAAATATGTCTGTGTCTGTTGGGCAACCACTGAGGGTGGATAGGATAATGAATTTGGAAATGTAATGAATATGTAATATACATAAAAATATAACATGTTTACTAACAATCAACTGTGGGAGCATTCTTGAAGAGTCATCTCGATACTACCCCAGCACCGCCAATAAAGAATACCTTGCTTAATGATAACAAAACTTTGCTGTTAAGTTTCTACTCATTGACTTCTTTAAATCAAGAATATTGAGATGAATGCATCCAAAGCAGCAGACAAGGATGTAATTTGCCCAGAAATATCATAGACTTCATGAGACTGCCATGACTTCTCAAATATGATGGATAGATAGCAGCCTAGCTATTTAAAAACCATTCTGAATTAAAACAGTAGACCACTGTTTAGATGGTAGTGAAGAAAAGCATGAATAGAATACAAAGTTTTACTTTACAACCTTTAATTTACCTTCTTCAAAATAGTATAATATATAAAGTAACTACTAACTTAGAAGCTCCTTTTGTATGACCTACCGTGCTGGACCAGATGGCTCCTCTCTGGCTGAACTTAACACAGTTTTAATTATGAGCTCCTAAAACAAAGAGGAAAACGCTCACCAGTTTGCCAATTACACAATCACATAAAATGTTAGAAAATTAGAATTTTATTATGAGACAGACAGGTGCATCATTTAGCTGGCTCTCCAGGTCTGTGGTCAGAACTGTTTGTTGCCACTATATCAATTTCTAGTCTGTCACAGAAGTACATTATTATGCTAACTCAAGAACATCTCACGGGTTACTGTCCTAATTTCTGGTGATTCATCCAATACATTTCCATGAAGTATCATGGGGAAAAAATAAACGAAAGAAAGAAAAAAATCCAACAAACAACGACCATCATGTAGCTAACTTCTGTGAACAATCACAAATGATACCACAGAAAGTATTCATCTGCTAGTTACTTTGAGGTATGTATTAAATGATTTTTTTTTTTCCTAATCAAAATTCTATTAATTAAAAAAGTCCTTGGAAGTATCCAGAGAACAAGTGACTACAGGCCTTAAGAATGATGTCAAGAATAATTCTGATTGAACTGCTGCAAAATGTCCCTAAAGCTGCAGGTTACTACCAAAGCTTATGTAAACATCCAGTAAGTTTATTAGTATAATGTTTCACAATATTTTACAGGATCTATTTGAAATAGCTCGTGAAAAAATTTAGTCATTATTTCCTGGAATATCATCATATCATAATTTAATTGGTGGCAGAATACTATTCAAATAGCCTTTAAATTTCCCACCTTAACATCTGTAAACTGAGACACAGCTATGTCAGGAATGTTTGGGTGAAGAGCTGGTAGTTCATGATATAAATTGGGAAAACAGACAAGAGATCCTAAAAGAACTTGTGCTTCAACTCTTGGTGCCTGAAAGAAAAACAGGTGAAGGGAAACATATTTTTACTGCAGTCAGAAAGATGACATTTCTAGCTGCCTTAAATAAGAACAACGGCTAAAACTGTGCACAGTTATCTCTTTTTTCCTTCTCCAAATTCTCTAAAGCTGAGCAAACTGAGATCACATCCCAGTGGACTGCTACTCATACACACACTATGCCCATTTTCCAAGCTGGCCAAAAGGAAATGAAGGATTTGTTAGGATTACAGAAAAATGCCTAAGTAACTAGGCCTGGACAGCTAACACTGCTGGACATGATAGACAAGCATAAAAAGATGCAAAGATCAGCTTTGATAGCGCCTTAAGGAAAACTGAATTTCACAAGTAGTTAAAAGGTGAATTATGTAAGAAGAGCCAAAAGTCATTGATAACTGGACTGGAGTATTAGGGACCTTCGAGGAATACAGTCACACAAGGTCAATAGCACTTGAATAATCACATCAGCGTTCCAATAAAAAGCTGAGGATGCCTAGGTGCTATATCAGAGATATAAATGGCCAACATTATCAGACATAGGAGTTTTCAAGCCAGACTATGAAAGTCATTGCAGTGTGTATGTATGCGTGTAAATACAGCTGTATTTCTAACACGAAGTTATAGCCAAAATGACCACTTATTTTAAAACATTTTGAAGTGCAGATAAATGGCAATCATAAGTTCTAGAACTCTAAAATTACTGCGTCAACAGCAATGTTAGTATACTTCACATTACATTTTCCATAAAGGATTTGCATATGTAGTGTGCTAGAATGAAACACTAAAAGTGTCTGTATTTGCTGTTACATTGGCTTCTTCGGACAAATTAACACCCCAGTCAAGGAAAAATATTGCTCAGTTTTCTCTCAAATCCTTCTAACTTGCCCATTAATGAGAATGAACTATTGAACACTTACATTGAGAAAAGAAGAAGCTGCCACCCTTCCTGCTGCTACAATGAAATCCATAATAAGCATGGTGGCACCAGGCAAACTAAGTGAAAAGAACTGAGGAGAGCAGTGCTTGATGATTGTATTGACAATATCCTTGTACAAGGAAGAATAAAAAAAAGGAAAAGAATGTCAAGAACATGAACAAATAATGAAAAAAAAGGCAGATATCAAACGGAAAATTGGGAATAAAAAAGCATGTAAATTCACTGTGGCCATTGGAACATTCTAGGTTTCATTACTGAACAAGGAGTAGCACAAAAAAGTTACATTCCATATGTATACTCATCTTAATGTAAGTATAGTATACTTTATAGATCAATTTAATCTTGGACACTACTGTACCACCTTTGTATTAAGTCATTAACATTTAGATTGTAAGGGTTTTATAAATAATTAACAATTCATTCAAATAGCTACAGAAGAGACAGAGAGATAACCAGCTATTATTTAGCATCTTAGAAAACTGAATTGAAAGGAACCTTAAAGAACATCTACTTCTAACCCTCTCAGCCACGGGCAGTGTCACTCTCCACTAGATAAGTTTGCTCTTATCTTCCTAACAACATGCTTAAATCCTCTCCAACAAATGTCACCTTAGTATAACATTAAAAGAAGTGTTAACTTCTTATGTATCTTTTATGGAATCATAATATAAAGACAATTACATATAAAGACATAGCGTTTTATAACACTGCTGGCGTATAGTCATTCAACACATTAAATTACAGGACTGTGGTGAAGCACTCACACTTGTAACGTGAATCTCTAAAAAGAGCATTTAAACCATGTACTATTTTCAGACTTGTTCATATTAAAACAAGATCTACTCCTCTGATTAAATGTCTTTGCTACTTTCTATATTTGATGTAGAAATAAACTACGCCAGACATACAGTGATGACAATTTACTTTCCCATTAGCTGAACAGTTGCATCAGGGAGCAAATAAAACCAGTAGACATTAGAGATACTTGTTTCCTTCATTCTTGCGTGCTTCAGTCTGCAGCACTCAGTTACAGAAAAAAACAAAGAAAGAATACCCTTTTCTGCCCTCTTACTTGCTTAAAATGGACTACAAAAAAACATTTCTGATTACAATGAAGAACATATAGGCCATTTACCAAAGCCTGGAAAAAGTACCAGTCACATAGCTATTTTTAAACGAAAAAGTTGAAATACTCAGCTTAAAATCCAGTATTTCTCACAATTTCATTTTTACTTCAACTATTCATTTTAACTGGTACATCATAGTTAAACTTACCTGATCAACATGAAGAAGTCCACAGTGCATTATATTGTAAAAATGAGTTAAAAAATCCTTGTTGGGAGATACATCTTGTCTTCGCTTCATTGTCTTACAAATAAGTTTATAAGCATGTAGCTTTCCTTGTTTGTATTTATCAGTCAGCATTGTTGCCTACAGTTTAAAAAAACGTTGATTATTCATAAAAGAAAAAAGTAAATCAAACACTTCTGCAACAATGTATTTTATTTCTGTTTCACTACTTAGTGCTCAAATTTACCTTGAACAGCCAAGGTGTTAGAATTCTCAGTGGTGGGATTAAAACTGGTGGAGATGGTGAAGTGAGGTTATCTGTTGAAATACCAAGATTGTCTCTTATCTGCAATTATGAAAATAAAACAAAATAAAATGAAAGTAAGGGAAATATATCAGGTGATGGTTGTTCCATCTGAAAATCCTTCCTTGTTGAAACAGCTTGGATAAGAGGTTTTTTGTTTGTTTGCTTTTACCTTGGCCAGATTCTGCCACAGTTCACACAGATAATCAAAAACCTGGGCATGAATCTCTGGATCCATGATGCTGTTGACATCTCCTAAAATTCCCAGCATTCGTCTCCACATCACAGTAGCAACATCTGCGTGCCATCCTGTAAGCGTTCCCCCAGCCATAACACTGCAACATTCTGAGGGGAATTCACTAGTTTCTGCAAAGGAAGAAAAAAGCATAGTGAGATCTACCTCTTTACAGAAGGAAAAGTTCTGCCTGAACTATTACATACATAGTTTCCTTAAAACTGAAAGAGAAAAAAAAAAAATCAGACTTTTAGAGTAAGATATTTCTTACCCATTAAGCCATCTCAAAACTGAAACTGTTTAACTACGTAACTACTTCCAAATTCTCTAGAAGAACTGTTTTGTTTCTTGTATATTTTGTCCATAAGTAACATTCAAGGTCACTACTGGAGCCCTAATTCAGTGGCAGTTTTGTGTGAACTCTGTTCACCTCATCCTTCCTATGCATCATTACACATTATCTCTACACAATATATGAATGGACAGTCCTTTTTAGTGGAAGATCTGTTCGTTCCAGTTTGCACGTAGAAAGAATGCTCACATTACAATGGCTCACACATTATGTGGTTAAACAGCCAAAGCAAACTACCTAAGGAACCACAGTTCTAAAGCAGAAAGCATCCACATTCTTCCTCCTGTACCTCTCACATAGGTTTTAAAACACCTCAGCACCAGAACTTGCTGAGATCTTCTGTAAATCTTGCAGCTCCCATAGGCGTACAAAATGAAAATGAAATCCAAATTCAGCCTAATCTCACAGCCTCTTCATTTGAAGATCTGGACCACTGTGGTAGAGACACTGATGGCTTCTGGGTTGCAAATTATGAAGTATAAAGCAAAATGATTGTATTTGTGTTCATCAGTAGGCTACCTTAAAGAAAAAAGGGTCTAAAATACCCATCAGACATTCTTCTGTTTCCATGAGACTGAGCATGGGAGAATTGATAACTTTATGTTTATAAAGTGTATGTATTCTAAAATTCAATAACTTAAAGTAATTAAAACTTGTATAAATATTAAAGGGAAAAGAAGAAATAAAAACATTACTTAAAAATTAGGTCTTATTACCTTTACATTAATGATAAAACTGTCCTTGGCAGGACCACATACTAGGTTACCTTGACACAACTCTATCAAAAAGAACAGTCATAAATATACTGACTAGAAACCCACTGCTAATAGTTTCAATGAAATGCAAGACAATGTGTAGAAAAGGTTTTGGTTTGCTTTCTGAGAAGATAACTGCAATTAAATATTTTTAAAAGTGCAGATGAAATAGCTTTTTACAGGATTGTCTACAGCTAATGGGATACTATCTACTTCACTGTATTGCATTCAAAAGAAAGGAAAAACAGGTTTATGTTTTCTATTCCAGATATTGCCTAGGTCATCTGGCGTCTGCAAAACAGAGTGGTGGAGCTTCTCATCCAGTTGCAGATCCTTCTGCTCAATATGATCTGCATGAAGAGTGGCAGGAGAGGGTGTCTGTGATCGGGATCCAAGAGCAGATTGGATTGGAGAAGCACTTTCAGAGCCTGCAAATGCAATTTTTAACAGTTACCTTAAAAGCCTTTTCTGTCCTTTTGAGCTACTGAAATTTCTAAACACAGCATTAAAAGAAAATTTAAATACTTTAATATAACAAATTTGGCCAAAAAAGAAAATGATATAAAACCTGCAATAAGATCTCCCTGTGAACTGAGCTCCAAGAGACAACAAATTACATACAGGAAAGGCAAGAGATGAACATCAAAATCAGATAGGTGAATGGACTACCAAAGCTCTATTTTCAATCAAAATAATTTTAAATGTGTTTATTCTGCAGCACTTGCAGTGCTCGGAACCAATCAAATTTCTCTACACATTCCTTCACATAGATTTTTCCCCAGTAAACGATTCAAGCAGAAATTTTGCTGAAACAACCGTTTTTCCAGGTTTATGGATGTGTACAGTTTGATTTAAAAATCAAAGCTCGAACTGGGGACTGATATTCAAAAAAACACAGAATGGCCAGGGTTGGAAGGGACCTTGAGGATCACGAATCTTCAACCCCCCTGCCACAGGGCCACCAACCTCCACATTTAATGCTAGACCAGGCTGCTCAGGACCCCATCCAATCTGGCCTTCAACATCTCTAGGGACGGGGCATCAACAAACTCTCTGGGCAGCCTGTTCCAGTACCTCATGACTCTCATAGTAAAGAACTTCTTCCTGACATCCAACCTAAATCTCCCCTCCCTCAACTTAAAACCATTTCCCCTTGTCCTGAAGTTATCAACCCTTTCAAAGAGTTGATTCCCCTCCTGTCTGTAGGCTTCCTTTAGGTACTGAAAGGCTGCAATGATGTCACCCCGCAGCCTTCTCTTCTCCAGGCTGAACAAGCCCAGTTCCCTCAGCCTATCTTCGTAGGGGAGGTGCCTCAGTCCCCTGATCATCTTTGTGGCTCTCCTCTGGACCCTCTCCAACAGCCCTCATATTCTTTGATGTTTATCTGCTGACCAGAAAATCTGTATGGAAGGAATGTTCTATGTATAGTTAGAGGAATGTTACTTCCTTGAAGGAAGAACATGAGCTTTTCGAGTGGCAGTGTGCAAAGGCATCTTTCCATGATCAACACAGAGCAACCTCTCTAGACAGTTACTTTATCTGCTCTACAGAGATACTTACATAGGAGCAGCACACACTTTTACTTGGCTCCTGCACTAACTTCTGCTAAACAAATTTCACTTCTTGAATTTGCTTAAGGATTCTTCCAAAATGGCAAGTTCAGACTGAATACTCAGACAGCAGTGGAAATAAAGAATAGGTATTCACTATATATATCCCTACACATCAGCACATTTCAAAATGGAAAAATACATGTCTCTGAATTTTAACTCTTGGAAAATGACTGATTAAAAAAATATTACAATATGTGTGAAGTTCAGCGCTGGAGATAAACTAAAATCTAAGGACATAAAAGAAAAAGTGAGGGTGTTAAAAATAGTAATTTTCCTAAATTATTGGTTGTTAAATGTTCTTCTTTGAAAGAAAATTAAACATTTTAAAGAACTTGACAGAAAATGTGAAGTGTTATCAGAACAGAAACAATGCTAAACAAACTTGCACTACTGGATTGAAAAGCAATGCAGTTTTTACCAGCAGTTTAAATCAATGCATCTATGTAGGAGATACAGACATATATATGAACATCACTAAATTCTGTAAAATGACAAACCGTGGCAATGCCTTTCCTCTTTCACTACTACTTCACACACAGAATATTTTTTCACTCCATATTCTGCATTTTTAAGTATAGGAGACCATCCACCTGACTCTGATCGCTTGTTTTCAATATACAAAATTAATGTAAAATACACATTTAAAGGTGTCCTAAGAAATCCTTTCCTACTTATCCATTCTGTTCACTAAAAGGGGAGGGATTGAAATAGACATAGAGAAGAAGGAAAAGAGTGTTGGGGTAGAGAAGTGGGAGGAAAAAAGGAGGGAAGGAGAGAGGCAAGAAGGAAGGAAGGAAAAGAGAGAGTAGGGGAGGGAGGGAAAGAGATTTTATATGAAGGAAAACAATAGACACAAATAAAGACGGAAAATTTGCTGATCTACTGGAATCTTCTAAGCATTAAAAGATACCCCAGTACACTTGCTTTCAACTTTGATGCTGTGCTTTGAAGTTCAGTTTCCACATGGATCTTCTGGTATCTAATCACACCGAATTCAAACTGCAGCTTCCCTATCAGGTGACTCTTCATGCACGTGATTTACACTATGCAGCTACCTATCTTTCAAAAATTTCAAAGAAACTGTGTTTTCTTCTTACGTGTGAAAAGAAATTAGACAATAGGCTCCAACTTTGTGGGGGCACTGAAGTGACACACAAAAACCACCTCTCTAAAACAGTGGTCCAAACAACAAGAAAAGACAGCCACAGAACTTTCTCAATGGACAACTCAGTCATTAATTGTAATCTTGTCAATTACAATGCAAACTTGGACAAAACAACCAAACAGCAATGAAATCATTAACATACAAACAAACAAACAGATAAAGAGCAGATTCTCTGTGAGGACTTCAACAAGTGCACAGTAAAGAGAATGAAAGTCAAGCTGATTATTGCTGACCAAGCTAAACAACAATGTTGAAAAAGCTTTTATCATGCTTCTTTCAATAGAAAGGCAATTTTTGAATGTGAAAATAGTTGCAAGAAAGTGAAGAAAGTTCTTAAACATATCTGAAAATGCAGTTTGATTTGTCACAGAGAACAGAACCTATGTAGGCATAAGCTGTCACAGATAAGTAGGTACTTGTTCTACATTTGTTAGGCATAACAGTATTTAACAGTTATGGAACAAGGAATATAAAAATGTCTATGGATATTTCACTCACAAAATATGGTGCAATCTTCCTTCTAAACACTCCTTGGAGAGGAAGATTTTCTCTTTCAGAAAGCAGCTCATTCAATTTGCTTACCTGTATCATTTGATAATTGCATAATTCTCCCTCTTTCTCAATAAATATTTGTAAAATAAATTGGTAGGGCCTCAAGACTGACTGAGGCTGTGAAACTCTCATTTAGTTTGTAAAAGGCTATTCCATGAGAAAAAAAAAATGGAAAAGTACCAACAAAAAATAAGTGACACAAACGGAAACTGATCTTACAAGTCACAATAACATTTTCACACATTACGTAAGACTCAAATTTCACAAGAGACAATACAGTGAAGACAGTTGTATGCAAAAGAATCTCATAAGACTTCAATGTACTAGTTTGAAAGCACCAGCAAAGCCTTTCAAGAAAAAAATAGCTTAGTGAAAATTAGCTTTTTGACTACTATACTAGTACTATAAAAACACTCGTAAGATCTAGCTTACATAATGTGCTAACAGTTTTCTCTGATAATTGTATATATTTTCTCACTAAGGATTTAAAACAGATTTAGCACCAAGTAAAGGACTATGAAGGTAACTAGGTCAGACAAAAGTTTTCTATTTGTAATTTCACCCATCAGTGTTCAATGGCAATAGAAAAATAACTGAAATCCAAGAATCATCTTCTACAGAATATAGATTCATAGCAGAAGCTGAATCTTGAACTCTTCAAGATGGGTGGAAAATTTCTGAAACAAATGATTATTTATCTATTAACTACTTTACCAGTAACAGTTGCAGCTTCAGCAGACAACGGTTGCTGATTCAAACTACTTGTTTCCGAATCTATATGGAGTGTAGTTAGACTGGCTACTTCTTGTTCCTCAGCACTTTGATGTTGTCCTGAAATTGCATCAGCATCAGTGGAAGCTGGTGTCCCTGCCTCTGTGCCAAAGCTGAAATCTGTATGAGGAAAGAGCTGTATTAACTGATAACTTAAAAATACCACTAATATAAAATACAAAAGCCTAGCACCTCCAAAATCCTCCATGTAAAACTTGTATGTACATCTCCTATGCTTCCAACACACTGTTGCACAATTTACATAAGATGTAAAAGCAGAAAGTAATTGGCTATTATGGACATTCTCATTTCTGTCACAAAACTGCGACTGAACTTCTGGAGAAGACATTCCTATTGCATGTCCTGTATTCTGCTTAGTCGCTGTAAGTGTACCTAAATGAGAATAAAGTAAAAAATAATGGAAAATTACATTAAGGAATTTATTCGCAAAATTTATAAGCTTAGAAATAGCCAACTTGTTCATTAAAGAACTAACTTTAAGCTAAAAATATGACAAATGACATTCTGGCAAATTGCATTCTCAACACTTAAGAGAAGATGCCACACTGAAACATAGTTTAACTAGCATCACTTAGCTACCTACCATCTACATATCCACAGTACATACAGAAATACAGTACATACTTCTACCAAATAAACAGTATTACTCTCTTACGTAACAAAAAAAAAAATCACAGTTCTAAGCAACTGCAATAACCCCTCCATATGCATATAAGTAGGAACAGATGCAGGAAATGAATGAAAAAGATATTAAGTCATTTTAAAAAAGCATACTCATTTTACCATGATAACACATTTAGTATCTTTATCAATCTATAGCTACAAAAAGATCACTGTAAAAATATTAGATGACCTTCCTTACATTTTACCTAAACTTTTTCAGAAGTAAAATAAATTCTGAAGCTATCTTTCATTTTTACATTCTAATGCATAGAAAACTCTACAGATAGTATTGCTTCCTAACTTCTATGCACTGTTGTTCAGCTTTTATAGAGCAGTGTTTCAGTGCTGTTTTGCTCATTAGTATACTACACAAATGTTAGCCTCTCTCATGAATTCTGTTTTGTTCCATTAAATTAGTAGTGATTTCAATGGGGAATCAAGATATGCTCTCTTTATAGAAGAATACTGGTATTTAACTTACAAAAATTAGGAAAAGGAAGTCACAAGCAATCAACCAAAAATGTTCCTACTTTTGGGAAAGTATACTTGCTTTCAAATTTGCGTCCATCATACTGAAAGGCACTGAACGAGTCCGAGTGGCTATCTGAACTGATGAGGTCACTGCTGCCTGCGCTAGCAGGTGATGTCCATTCAGAAGGCACGCCTGGGTCGTCTATAGGGCGCATTTGGTTCTGTTTGTTCAATACATCAGGAAGGTCTTTCGGAACTTCCAGGCTGCCAGGACTGCTTCCTCGTCTTGTCACATTCTAAATATTGAAGATATATGAAGTATTTTACAATCTTGGATGGCTTATTTGCTTATAATAGGAAAAGCAATTTCACATTCACAAATGTCTGTATACAACTTGTTGTACACATGCACCTAAGCCAAAAACTGTCATCATCCTACAGAGTAAGACTTTCCAAAATCCCAGAAAGCAGGAAGCAAAGAACCCGTGCTGTCACACAATTCAGTAAATTTCAATTTTGCTTTCACAATGGACATTTTTGCACAAACTTTAAAAGACCTGGATTCAAACCAAAATATGCCCCCCTTGTATTTGGTAAGTCTTTGGAAAAAATAATAAAAACACACATTACCTCCAACTCATGTCTAAATTGATAAACAAGTCTTGTTAACTTTGGTTTCAGAAGCATGCAGAAAAAAAGATTTCAGGAAATCTGCTGGGTTTTGGTCAATAGGCTATGATGATACAAGCAAAAAATTAACATACACTGCAAGCAAAAGAATTTTCTTAATTCACATATTAATATTGTTATGTGTAAGCCAAAACCTTAGCATTGATTTAAGACAAAAAAAGACAGTGTATAGATGAAACAACACACGTTTGCTCATGCAAACGTACACCGTGCTACTTGAGTCTTTCTTTAAGACTCTCCTCACAGAGCAGAAAAGGCAGTGAAAAGTACAGCTATCTGCTTCAGTGGGAACTAAGATAAACACTGAGAAGTCTTTTTATGAAACAGCTTGAATTCTTTATACACTGAAAATCAAGTGACTGAAGGTGAATTACCTCATGACTAGTCACTTCACTTCTCCTTTTAACATCCTGCTACAAATTGGCTATTTAACTGATAATTCTGACAACATACAAGGTTTCAGTGTTCAATAGATCAAGCAATCAAAAAATAGTAAGTTAGTACTCTTTTTTTTTTTAAGACAGAATATCCATTTTTGTGTGCTAGACGGCAACTTCAATGGAAGGCAAAGTTTCATAGTGCTTATTCAAACTTACCTTGGGCTGTTTTTTTCCCTACCTGAGGAAAGTATCAATTTTTCATATGTTTACTAATAGTTTTTGAATGTTGACTAATGATCAACATTCCTGCCCATCTATGTGAACATGAATAGTGCTCCCTTTCCTTTTTTTTTTTTTTTTTTCTCCTGTGATCAGTTGTGAAGACTTCTGTTTTATTGATGTACATCCTGAAGTTTATATTTAAGGTATCTCAAAACAGCAACGGCATTTTACCTTGCAACTCAAGATGAAACAAAGTTTGATGAAAATAAATTCAAAGCAACAGAGTAAAAAGCATACATGTGAACAACAGAATCACAGAATTGTAGGGGTTGGAAGGGACCTCCAGAGATGATCGAGTCCAACCCCCTTGCCAAAGCAGGTTCCCTACACCAGGTCACACAGGTAGGCATCCAGGCAGGTCTTGAACATCTCCAGAGAAGGAGACTCCAGCACCTCCCTGGGCAGCCTCACTGTAAAGAAGTTCTTGCGCACATCTGTGTGGAACTTCCTGTGCTGCAGTTTCCGGCCATTTCCCCTCGTCCTGTCTCCACTCACCACTGAAAAGAGTCCGGCCACGCCATTCTGCCCCCCACACCTTAGATATTTATAGACCTGGATCAGGTCCCCTCTCAGTCTTCTTTTCTCAAGGCTGAACAGACCCAGTTCACTCAGCCTTTCTTCATAGGGGAGATGCTCCAGGCCCTTCACCATCTTTGCGGCCCTCCACTGGACTCTTTCCAAAAGATCCCTGTCTTGTTTGTACAGGGGAGCCCAGAACTGGACGCAGTACTCCAGATGAGGCCTTACCAGGGCAGAGTAGAGGGGGAGGATCACCTCCCTCGACCTGCTGGCCACGCTCTTTTTAATGCACCCCAGTATGCCATTGGCCCTCTTGGCCACAAGAGCACACTGCTGGCTCATGGCCAACCTGTCGTCCACCAGACAACCCCTACAGGTCCTGTCTTGCCATCTATTAAAGATGATGATAAATAAATCAATTTTTCCAATCACTTTGAAGAATCTTCTGTTCCTTATTTGCAACAACTTTGATATTCATTGACAACTTTTACACACAAGTTTTACTCGACATGTCTAAAATAATCTTCTTTTCCTTAAAGAAGTATTAATTTAAAAGTACACAGCTTTGAAACAATCTCAATTATTACCCATTCTTCTCATTTCCAATGTTTCTTTGAATGTGTCCCCCTTCTTTGACACTTAATTAACCATTAGAACATTTCAGATCAGTTGCTTTGTTTGGCAAGTACTCAAAGGTAACCAGAAATTATTGACTTAAAATTGATTGAAATTTTTCACTATGAATCACAGCCACAATGACATTGCTGGAAAAGTATGGGAAAAAATAATACAAAAAGATGGTTTTTCTAACAGAAAGTTATTTAAAAGAAATTTTTCAACACTTCCAAACAAAAGAAGAAAAAAAAAGCGGAAAAACATGCAAATGTAGTTTTGTACTCTGTTGCACTAACAAAAATTGTAGAGAATAGTATCACACTCCTGTACTCCAGTATGGTGCCTAAATACAGCAACACACTAAGCACTGCAAATTTACATATAAACATTTGCTTTGAAACTGCACATGTACGACAACCTTTTCAGTCACAATTAAAACCATTTAATTCAGCGAGACTAGTCACCTGATAGTTACTTCTGCTCTGCTTGAAGAATGAAATTCTAGTAGAAATGACATTAAAAATGCATAAAACAACATAAGCCTGTGCTAAAAATGATTTACAGACAAAGAATATTTTAATGATATTCTGAAGTCTTTCTGATACATAAAATCCAGAGTAAGATGAACATCTTACTAAGTGTTGAGCTGACTTATGAAGTCATTCATAAATGACATGAATATTCACACATACGTGCAGACTTACATATCACAACATAGGAAGTTTAAAGGCTTACCAGTGTACTACCACTGCGGAGTCTCTCAGCTATAAATTCATCCATGAGGTCAGGAACATTTGTATTGCTACTGCCAATATCACTATCAATAGGGTGCAGCTTTTGACTCATGTCCTCTCTATTAGCTAAAAGCAAATGAATAATTGTATATAGTAAAGAACACATTAACACACATTCAAAACAAAAGATAATAAACAAAGAAACCCTGCTAGTAAAAAGAAATTAAAAATTCAAAATTGCCAAACATGCATTTTAAGACTCTCCCACTTTTTAAGCAGATTCTACTGTAGGAATTAGTAAAACCACTTCTTCCCACTAAGCAGGTGTTAGTCAATTTCCAGTAAAACCTTTAGGAGCAAGAAAGCTTATAGGTAAGCACTACTTAAAGTTGTTAATGCTTGCTTTAAGGATACAGCACGTATTTTTCCTCCATATCACAAAAAAATAAGTAATAAATCCTAAAAATTTTATACAATTCCTACAGGTACTCCTCCTCCATTGCACTCTTAATGAAGAGCAATGTAGTAGGAAAAGCACAGTAGACTGCAACATAAAATAATGACAAATGCCAATGTGGCACAGTATACATTTAGTATAAATAGTGCAAACAAAAAACGTTAAGTAATAAAATAACATGCTACTACTTGGAATGAAAATTCCATTTCTAGATGGTCAATGGTGATGAACAATTAATGAAGTTCACTCAATTATCAATTCGTATTTTTGATAGAATTGTACTTTCTGTATCTGACTTGGCTGCTACACCTAACTGTACGATCCTTTAAAGCTTTCAGGTTACCTCAGTTCATTTTTCCTCTGCAATTTTTTCCCTCAGTGTCCTCTCTCATGGGACCACAACAGGGTTTTCGTTTATCCTAATATTGAAGTTCTGCTAGATTTTACGGATTTCAAATAATTTTTTTTCTAGACACCTTTTTCAGAAGTTCAGATTCTGCATAGAAGCAGAAAACTTTTGTGAGGAACGTGACAATCCCATCACTGCCCACTTGTCATGGTGCTACGCTTTCACAGACTGCCCTCAGGTGGCATTAACATCTCAATGCAGGATGCATTACAGAATCTGCTGTTAATCATGCCAGTGTAATAAGGTGAAAAAAGAAAACCTACATTACTGCTGAAAGTTAATTTATTGTTCATTTAAGGTTATTTATGATTTGAACTAAGCCAATGGATATCAGAGCAACAGCCTTCTTTTTGATCAATCCACGGAGGTCTCATAGTAAGCAGGAGGATGATCAAGAGACCTTCATGAACATACATGTTGCCAAGATGCGACTGTATCAATTTTGATGAGTGCATACAGAAAGGCCTACATCACAATTCAAAAAAGATTCACACAAAACCTTAAGACTACTCACAGAGAACTGTGATAACAAAATCATTTCAGTAACAGCTTTCTGTTCCAAACTACTTTTCAAAAGATATCTAAACTGACCTCCAAATGTAAATTTGAGGGGCCTTTTTGTTTTGGAGGAGGATAAGGCAGAGCGGGAGAGGAGGAGGAAGAAAATACACTAAATGAACCAGAAATAAAATTAATTGAACCTAGCTGGTAGACAGCCAGGTCATTCTGACAAACAAACTAGTTGGAGCAGAACAGTACATTCTGATATAATGTGCACATGCCAGTCATTCAGTAGGCTGAATTTTGAGGCTCTATATGGTAGATGAAAATTCAAATTTTTCAAGGCGTAGTCTTTATTAGGTCATTTACTGTCTCTTCCTCTTCCCTAACCTGATGGTCTTCAGCAGCAAAGAGGTTCAACCAAATATACTTCAAAGGAAAATTAGTAATTTAAAGTATGTAAAAGTAACTTAGGCTGTGAGAAAAATCAGCTGGCTATAGGCGCATGCACAACCAAACAGGAAAAGCAGTGATCATCCCAAAGCCTTTTGATTGCTTATCAGAGCTTGCTTCAGTTGCATTAAGCCAAACTGGTGCTGCCTTTCTCCTTTTGCACTCTGCACACTGTCAGTGCTCACCTGCAGCTCTCCTTCCAAAATAGCCCATTACATGACTGTACAGATCCCTCAGTGGAGCCTCTGCTGGCATTCTGTTCTGCCTCTGTGGGGAAACATTTGCCTTCGGCTTCGAAAGAGCATGTACAACAGTTTTATAAACACCACCCAGGGAGCCCTGCTGTTGCGCTGACTCCTGACCTGATGATCTAAATGCACTACGATTATGGAACTGATTAACTGCAATAGCTTCCTTTTGCAGCATGGCTGTTTGAGTTTCTGTAATTTCCTTACTTTGCTTGCTACTAAGTGAAGCAGCATTGATCGCATCTAGAGGTCTATATATTCCAGGTCTAACCAGCTCCATGGCAGCTGACGAGCTGCTGCTTGTACTGCTACTGCTGTTGCTGCTACCACTACCACTACCACTGAAGCCACTAAGTTTACGAAGTCTTGCCTTCCATGCAGCCTCTTTGTTCTCAAGAGGATTGTAAAACTGAACTGATTCTGTAGATGGTCTAAAAGTTACATGAACGCTATTTCTTTTTTTAGCTGTTATTTTCATGATTTTGGCCCTATGAGTTACTGTTTCAGATATACTTCTTTTAGTTGGTGACAGCTTGCTTGTACCTGTGATGTGAGGCATTTGAGGGTTAACTTGTGCTTTAGGAAGAATTTTCTTTGCATGCATAACACGTGAGTTGGTTATTTTGTCGTTAAACTGAGCACTTTTATGCTTTTCAGCTAATGCTGCTTCCACGGCTGAATCTACATCAGCTTCAGTGGCTGCTTGTCTGTACAGATATCTTTTTCCGTCTTTGATGCTAGGACTACTTGGCCCATGATCAAACAGACTTTCACACTGTTTATCAATATTTAACTGTCTGACTTTATCGAGTGCTTCATTTCTTGCAAAAATGTCTATTTGAGCAGGTGCAATATTACTTATAAAGCCACTTTGGTTTTGTTCTAGGTGCAGCTCTGGGTTATCAGGTCTTTCTGTAACAGTGACGCTATTCGTGCATTGACCAGTCTGATCACTATTTTCTAATCCATCCAGAGGTAATCTATCATTCCTATTTACTGATGTATCACCTTCATGAGCAGAAGCCTCACATTCATCTATCTCAAAGTTACCGCAAAGTTCTTCTTTTTCTTTAAGATATTCTCTCAGAGAGGAAAGAAGATCATCTTCACCTTCAAGGTCAACATACTGGTTTTGTTCAAAGGTTGTGTTTGCAAATTCTACTGGCCCTATTAAATGACAAAGATGGTCATAAATACTATCCCCAACTTCCAAGGAGGACTCTCTGCTATTTGAATCGGTAATATGGCTTTCAGTGGATCTATGCATTGAAGAGGTCTCAGTGGAACTTTGTAAACTTGGAGCATGATGGGATGAACTTTCAATGACAGGAACTGCACCTTTGGCTCGTTCAACTGCGAATGGTTCCAGGATGTCAGAGGTGCTGCTGCTTCGTGGCAGTGGTTGTTCCTCATTTAATGCACCAAAAACTTCACTTGGAGCATCCTCACTCTGTGAAAAATGTCTGACTCGAGGTGGACGTGGAAGAATTTGAGCATCATCAATGTCTGTAGGAAAAAAGTGTATGTAATACAAACCAGAATTTACATAGAAAAATACAATTTATTTACTGCTACATTCTAATCATGTGATTGAAAAAGCCAGGAAAGTCCAGAGCCTTGTTTAATTATGTACAATGAAAATACTTTTTCAGTACTAGAGTGTTAAAAACAAACACACAATATCCAGTACAAAATGCAATATAAATGAGTTAGACCATCAGAACACAGTTTTAAATGTTAACATGCATGAGAACAGTGAGACCATGGAACATTTGGAAATACAGTTAAAGCTAGGGCTGTGCCAATAAGTTCAATAATTCAAGCAATATTATTCCAACTACCGTGAAGAAATGTTTACCTGTAATATAAATTAGCTTAACAGTATGACTCTTCATAGAATTTACATCTTCAGAAAAATACACAACTCCAAAGAGAACATGTAAGTTTTCTGGCAAATTAGTATTGTCTACTGAAGAGATAAACTATTACTTTTTTCATAACTTGTGTGGACATACATAAATTACTGAAATATAAGAAACAATAGTAATGTAAAGTTATAAATATTATGGCAAACATTATGTGGTGTATACCTGAAGACTCAGGCGTTTTTGGTTTTTTTTTTGTTTTCTTTGTTTGTTTGTTTAAATTTTTAAATGAAAGAGAAGAGCCGGAGAAGATGACCATAAATAAAGGATATATATATATTTATAATACATCTTTTTTCCCTAGAAGGATGTTTTGTGAAATGTCTCGTTGAAATTGCAAAAATAAATGCTGAATGGAAGCTAACCTCCCCATCATCTTTCAATTTTACCCAAGGAACTCATAAGAATTATCAAATTAAGAATTTGATAATAAAGATATCGAACAAATCCTGCAGCCACACAACAATTAACATTGAAGTAAAATCACTTTTACTTACAACGAGACAAGAACATTTGTTATGACCATTTAAATTAGTAATTCCTTGTCTCTACTAAGGCTGCTAATACTTCACCATCAGTTTAAGTCATAGTTAACTGCAATGAAAGCCACAGTTTCAACACAGGTTGCTGAGGAAATGTACAGAAATGCATTCAGCTCACTTAATGTCATCCACCAAAATAAAGAACTTTCACATTCCCTCACCGAATTTCTTGATAAATAGGAATACTATATACTATATAATCAACAATACAGAAAAGGATAAGTGTCTCTTCAAAAAATTGCATGAATTCAATGCTTTTTATGGGATAGGAACTTGAAACATAAGGTAAAAACAGCTTAGTTTTCCACTGGCTTCATTTTCATAAAATCATTTATTCTCCAGATTTATTTTTAAGACCTATCACTAGTTCTAGATCTGTTTTTAAAAAAAGGAATAACAATAAAAAGCTTAAATGAACAACAACACTTACTTGCCACAATAAACAGACTTACCTTGTTATTCTGTCTAGAGGGTTAATCTTCAGCACTCAGTGGTACTTAAATTTACTGCATTTACTTAAATTCACCATATCACACAATTTAAGCCCCTTACCCTCCTTCAAATCTGATGTTATTGTCAAAACAAAGAAATTATGTTGAATTGATTTTAAAATATTTCAGATGATTACTTCATAGATGTCAGCATGTATTTCAACATTATGATAATCCAAAGTCACCTTAAATGGCCACTTTGAAGTGCTCACACTTTTCTGAGAAAGTCAGAGCTGAAGCTGAATTTTGTCATAATTTCCTTCTGAGCGAAACACATAACCCGGAGGAATCAGATATATTTGCACTTAACATGTGTGTTGAAACAAGATGAAAAGTTCAATTTTTCAAAGAAACTCCAATTTGAAAATTAAGTTTGACCTGATTCAAAGTTTACTGAACAGTATAGCAGCTATTAGACAAGAGATAGAAGTCTATGGTGAAAAAGAGAGTAGACATACAAGCTCTTTCAGAAAACAAACATGAACTGAAAATAGCTGTATAGTGCATAATTTATTAACCCTTTCCTTTCTCTTCAGCTTTTATCAACAGCAAATTTTTCAACAATATTCCTATTCAGTTTATTACTGACTATACAGACTAGCACCCTCTGACATGAAGGGTGTCACTCTTTAGCTTGAATTAATATTTCAGATTCTTTAACTGATTTAGGCATGGATTATTAGCATGGATTGTTCTTAAGTAGTTTCTGTGTAGCTTGAAGAAATAGGTTTTAATGAAAGCAGCACCTGAGATCACAGGATGCATCTGAAACTTGTATAATAATACTATTGATGAAATTAATATGATAAAGTAATCTCATCCTGAGCCTCAATATGCATCTTTCAAGTTTCATAAACTCCACTTTAGTCAGCCTAAGGATTGCATACTAGGCAAGCATGCAGTGATTATGATTTTCTAGGATGTTAAAAATTACTGGATGGAGAACTCTAAAAGCACGCCAAGCAGCTCCACACATTGAAATAAATTCAGCTAGATTTATTTCAACATTGATCCAGTATTACTTAATAGGCACTCATGTATGTGTGAATATCACATACAAGTACACAAAGATTTTCATATAAACACATAGTGCTTGTGCCAGTAGAAAATTCATTTTTGTAAAACAGAAGAAATTAAGGAAATACATAGTTATTGTAGTATCAGCAATGAAAATATAGATAATGTTTTAAAATCCAAATTAACAGCCTCCTTGGAAATCAGAGCTCACACCTGCACACTAGTTGCAGTCAAAATGGGACTCTATCAATTCCTAGAGTTTTTACCCAACACATTACAATTGTTGCTGCAGAGGAGTGTATCTTTAACAGTGCACATATCTGGAAGAAATACTATCTGCTTCCTAATAAGATAGAGTAAGAAAGAAACTGAAATTGGCAGTTCCAGCTAATCTCGATTGCAACTTTCCTTACACCAATCTATCCTCCTATTTTTCTGCTTGAAGATGGAAAGAAAAAGCAGCTTTTCAGCACTAGGTGGGAGACATGTATGCTAAAATACATGCACATTCTGGCAGTACACAATAGAGTACAATTTTCAACATAGAGTTCGTGATACTTCTTTGGGTAATAGAGGCAGGTGAGAAGTGGAAAAAAAAAATAGAACATATCTTATTTACAAAAATGTACTAAGTTCTATTTGTATGCAGCCTTCCCAATGCAATTTTGTTTTTTTATTCATTGAGACAAAGGCATAATATAACAGTCAGCCTTACACTTCACTGATTTCTACCCAATAGCTGGAGTACAAGAAAAAAAAAAGACAATATTATCTGTAACATTTCATACAAGCAAATCCTAAATGTCTTTATCTATTTGCTGAAAGAAAATTATCCAAAGAAAACTACTGTGAAGAATTCTAGCTAATCATCCTGTGTGGCCAAATACAACATTACAGAAAATTGTGAATCTGTAAAGACAGATGATTTGGAAAACCAAACCAAATCACAGCACCTCAGAATCCAATACTGTGTATATACACATAATATTTTTATATATTAATAAAATCAGGCATTCTGTAAAGCATATTAGATGATACCATATACTTCATACATTTTTTTTTCATGGGAACTAAATTACATCATTATCATGGCTGGCCATACAACATCCAGAACTGAAATCAAGAATTTAAGAAGAAAGATGTAAATGGCAAGTCAAACTAAAACTTCCTCCTTTTCTTCCCTTACTAATGACAAAATCTTCAGATTAGCTGTACTCTCTGGTAGACAGAAGTTGTATTACTGCTTACCAAATAATTACAAAAGCAAGATATTCCTCATTTTATTTTTTATGATAGTAAACATTGGCACAGCACTAACTTCTAACAGTTCCAGAATGAATTGGAAAATAGCATGATATTTTACATAACTCCAAATATTCATTCTTAATCTCTTCCCCTCTCCCTCCAACCCCAAGTATTTTTACTTTCAAAAAAATTAACTGTTTTGCAGAATTTGAAAGCAGAAGGTTTAAAAAAGTGATAAAGGGGGTGCAGAAATTAGCAGAGGTGGCACTACCTGAAAGCTCATCAGAAAGGGGAGTGAGAACAATATCAGGCAAGAAGGGTTTGGAAGTATGGATCAGAACAGGAGCACTTTTAGCACTGCGTATATAGGCCGATGGCAGAGCACATTCACCAATGGATCGGCTTCTCATGGCTTTAAAAAGGAAAAGAAAGAAGTGGGGAAGGAAAAAAGAAGAGTGACTATAATGAAAGGCTTGTGTCACAGAAAAAGCAGCAACAGAGAAAACAAAGATAAAAAGGAAGAAAATTTAAAAATTAAAACATTTCAGCACGGCAGATATTGGCAGAGCTGTAAGAAAGAAAAAAATCAGTGGACACATAAGACATTTTGAGTTTTTAATTTTTATGTAAAGCAGTAACAATGCCTTTATTATGACTATTACAGAGATTTTGCATTCGAAAACCAAAAAACTAATTAACAGTTTTTTCCTACTGCATCAAGGGTTGAAAAATCAAAGTTAAATCCACTCCACAAGCACTCAGAAATTTAGATTTTTTAAAAGAAAAACAACTTATTCTACATTTATATTTTTCTACTTTCCTTTGGATTACTCAAGACAAGTATATCTAAATTTTACCTGAACCTTAGTCTTTAATTCAAGATTCTCAGAAAGAGATTCAAAAACGCGAAAAGAAAATAAGCAACTGTATGTGGAGAAACTTCCAATACAATACAGCATGTTTGTGCATTAAAAATTAAGATATTGAAATGAAATTGTTTGTCAACATAAAGTGCTACATTCTTATTTTTCTAGATATCGAATAAATCTTGCTAACTAATCCTAATTAACCGTTTTTGTATCTGCCCTTCTGCCAACAGTCCCTATAGAAAGAAAACTTAAATAAGAATTGTAGTAACAGGATCAAAATTATACATATAGCTTTTCCAATAGATCTGAAGTGAAAATTTATTACACTTGTTTTTATTTGTCAGAGTAAGATATCGCAAGAACTGATACTGCATTCAATCTCAAAGTATAGCAAAAGTTCTTCAGAAAGTAATATTAATAGTTTCAAGCAGTTTCCTTTTCACATAGTTGCAAATTTGAGAACTTATGCTAAAGTTGTTGTTGATTAGCTTATTTTAAGGAAAATTCAGTGCATCTTAAACACTGTCAGCACAGTATTTAGGTAGTCTTTGAACTTTTCTTTGCATAATTTCAAAACAATATGGAATATACCCTCTGAAATTTCAGTGCTTCTGATCTGTACGGAAATCATAAGAACAGAATGGAGTGCAGAAAAACTTGAGCACATCACACTTATAAATCAGGTTAGAGAACTTCCCTAACACAGCAACAAGAAGATAACTTGAGCAGGCCAACATACATGGAGCAGAAAACACATTTGACAAACGCAGCAACCTTAAGCAGAATCTTAACATCAGTTTGGAAAAAAAAATTCAGAAAGATGAATGTTTTAAGAATGAAGCCATTCACTTAAGCTCATAAGACAGAAAGCAACTTTTAAAAACAAACAAACAAACAAACAACTACCTGTACAGTTGTAACTTCTCTTTAAGAGATACAGCATTAAAACTCAGAATACAGCAATAGTTAGCTGTATTCATCATTATGCATTTTTAAATGAATCTAGGAAAGGGAAAAAAATATCAAGTTACTTAGAGAAAACAGACCAAACTTTTGAGATTGGATACCATGTTGAATGCAAATCATTAAAAAGAAGTGTTCCCTATAATTTGACTGAATCTTTCCCACCATTTTATGTTGATTCTAGTAAGAGGGGACAGGGCTTCTCATTGACTGTTTGGAAGAAGGAAATTTTAGAGATACTTGAAAGGAAAATTATACTGAGATGCTGTAAAATGTGATCTCCCTGAATATTTATTTTAAATAAGATGTGTTGTATCAATTAATTAGCTGAGTAGAAGCAGATTTGAGACCAGAATGTGAACTAGGTATTTGTTGCTTTAAAACCTTCCACTATTGTCTACAGAAAAAATGCAGAGGAATGGAATCCTAAATTCTTTCTGTCCTGATATTTTTATTGGACTACAATCTGCTGCCTAGACTACAAATTCCATACCTCGGCCTAAAAAGATTTTTCAACCCATATGCATATCACATTTAAAGGCCCTTTACTAAAAATTACTTTACATAAGTTCAGGCTAAAAATGTACACACTGCATATCAGAAAAGCTGTGATTTTTGTTTGAGTACACCACATACACACAAACTTGGTGCAGCCATAGATGTGCGCTGGCATGAGGATGGCTCGAAAAATAAAGGTTTGCAGACGTACACAAAATGTGTACAACAAAAAACAGACGAAAAAGAAACCCCACCTTTCTCTTACCATAAAATATTCAACATGCACATCTCCCCTACTCAGATATCAAGAGTATATTACTCACAATCACAGGAAATATACTATATGTCAGTTAACATGCAACACACCCAAGATCTGTCTCAGTTCCAGGTTTTGCTTGTGGCATTACTATTAAATTGAAGGAGACAATCTGACCAGCAAAGTGCTATACAGAAAATTTCACTTACTGTCACTATCAGCCAGTTTTTTTTAACATGCACCCCTGTTTTAACTGGTACAAGCTAGAAAGCACCTTAACAGGACTCTTAGCAGACCTGAGACAATAAGAAAGGCATATGCTTTTGTAGTATATGCTTCATCAACAGCTTAAAACCTGAAGAGTTTGGGACTCTAGAGATGGCAACTTTGACAGGGCTTTTAATCTTTTAAAATTATCCTACCAATACTGAGATGCTTGTCCACAAGTGGTGTACTACAAAATAAATAGATCTGAAATTTTAACTGGTTATAACAGTACAGACTTGGCTTATTAATATCAAATATGTAAGTAGACAAGGAACCAAATGCAGGAAGCTAAAGTACAGTGAAACTAAAATTAGATTAGTTTGCTACTTATGAGGTCAGTACATAGCTTGATTAGATAAACTCAATGATTTTAGGGCTAACATCATATGAATAGTCATCTTTCAAATAGAAGCAAAACAAAACCTTTATAAAACTGATCAAGTGGCATAACCTTCTTACAGAACATCTGAAATAACAATATGAGAGGGAAAAATTTCAGCATGAGCTTTACCTTGTTAAGACAATTAAGACTTAAAGAGAAAAACATTGCAACAGTCAATCACAGACTATTTACAGAGAAGCAGAAATTACATTTAAAGTATTTGTGATCTGTAAGGAAAACTGCTGAGTCAAGCTAGAGCTGTCAGTATGAAATAAAGGAAAAGCTGTGTAGCATCTGAATACAGGAAATACACATTTTTGGAGTAGTGTTTACAACTAATCAGCTCTGCCACCCAAATAGAAGACTTCAGAAGCTACCAGTAAACAAAATGTAAAAATGGAGTAAGAAAATTTCTTTAAATGTTCAAATAGAAAACGTTGGCAAAATAATCTGTGATTACAAAAAACATCTTTTTTTGTGACAAAATAACGTTAATTTCTGAAAAGCGAACATAACTGAATGTATATTCAACTATTAATACGCATTCCTGCTTCCTAAATTGTCAGATTGTACCTGCTCCCAAGAAGTATCAGTGAAGAAAAATGCATCATGACTGAAGCAACTACTATTACAGAGACAATGAAAAAGCATAAGATAGTCCTTTAAATGTTATTTTAAATGAAAAAGCAAAGAGAGTATAACCTTCTTTCACATAATGGATAGCACTGAGATCCGCAAGATGAAATAAGAGAACAAAGAAATTAGAAGTCCAGTTCAATAAGACATTGTGCTCAAATCATACAGATGTAAATGAGTCTTCTTTTGAGTGATCCACCCAGAGCACTGTCTAGCATTACTCATTTCTAACTAAAGAGTATCTGCAAGTAATGAAATTGCGAAGTCACTTCAGAAACAGCGAACTGCACACATTTGCACCGATCTATCATTAACACAAGATTCTGGGTATAGTAAAAGAAAACAGATTTTATGAACAATGCAGATACGTATGTATTTCTTGCACTTTTTTTTCCTGCAGTTGGAAAATATTCAACCTATTTTGTGCACTATTTAGGAAAACACAGACTTAAAGAGCCACCTATCCGTAGCAATGCTCAAACCATTCCAGCTTTTCCAGCATTTCTTTTTCACACACTTACAACTGCATTATTTTTCTAATGTAGGCTAAGCATGCAATCAACTTATTCAAAATTAAACCATATCCGCGTTACTTTCATTTACAGTAACTGCAATTGTAGTAACAACAAGCTATTCAGCTGCCCTCAAAACATGCAAGACTGCACAATTTACACTTACATCTTCAACTAGTTATTTAAGAAAGTATACTTCTCTGGAAAAAAATTAACCCTGTAGCTACAAAGTCAATTATTAATTCCTTTTCCCTTTTCAAATGTCACTTATATCAGCACTTACAGATACATACCAACAGTTTTCTGTCGTACTATGCTTCTTGCCTTTTCAGTTCCTGGAGATCCAGTGGTTGTAGCACTCCGTTGTCTCATTGGCGCCTGTCCAGGCTGATCACGGCTCCAGCCTCTAGAAAAGGACTTATCCACTGAAGACTTGGGGAATTCATGCCCAACTCCTACAAAAACAGAATTGCAAATTTATACACTTCTATGCTAGCATCACCAGAGAGTTGTGCTCTTTCAGACAGATTTAAAGTTGGATAGAATAAATTACTGGAGCTAGCATAATGTTAAAAGCTAAAACAGCAAATTACTATTTATAAGTATCTCTAAGCCCACTCAGCATTAACTGAGGGATCCTGCAACTGTTTTAGAAGCACTGGTGCTATTATGCTATTGTGATTTTCTTTTCTGATCAAACGAGCCCAAAATCACAGAAAAAGTGGTTTTGAAAAGATTGTAGGCAAGATGTGTAATTACAGAATTTTTTCATTCAACATTTGCTGTTTCTATTAGACAAAACACGCAAAATCATACATTACGTACCATTAACACTCTAATTGCTAGTCAAATCATAACTGTGACTTGAGGAAAATGGAATAAAGATTATAAAATATTTTAACACCAAAGAAGTAACTAAGTAAAAGAGATGGTGGACTCAAAGAACATGTCTTCAAAAATTCACACACACACACAAAAAGAAAACAGTGTAAGAAGATTAAGAAAAGATACAACAAAATCAGAATTGAGATTTATATCAATTAAATACAGCTCATAAGCGGAGCCTTCCAAAAACCGTAAAGAAAAAAAAAAATCCCAGTCAACTGAACAAACATTTGCAGTGTATTCCCTTACCCACACTGAACTGACACAAATTGTGATCACAATTAAATCATTAAAGGGCATCTCCTTGGAAGCTGTGTCTTCATAATGCACATTTGTAATTATTAACAAATGAGCAGGTCCAAACAAATTGGGCATAATATTTAAGTGATTAATTATTTCCCAAATCTACTAGAGCTAGTTCTGCAACCCACAGTTAACAATGGAAGCTTTCTCTGGAATTTTGCTACTGAAAGTTAGCATAAACTCTTCTCAAGTGGCTCTGTATGGGTGATGCAGACAGTTCAAAATATTTTTAAAAACTATATTCAAAATAGCAATACACAGTCTTATCCAACATCATACTTGTTTTTTAAACTGTCTTACGGTCAAAAGAAAAAAATCTATACAGTACAGGCAAACAAAAATTTATGGTCTGGAACAAACTCTCAAGGTCAACTGAAGAAAAAAGTAAGTTTGTTCAGCTGTCATGTAGCAGAAGAATAAAATGAAAGTGTGAAATGTCTGTGCCCAAGATGAGGAATGAGACGTGAAATGTCTTTACTACAAACAGCTTATAGCAACATTCTCTTTAAAATAGGGCACTGATTATTTCTCACTCAGTAAGTAAGTAGTGAGTACCTTCCCTTGGGTTTGAATAAAGAACCACATCAATCAGAATACAGAGAGATTAAAAAGTAGATTAAAACCATACTTTTTCTCCATCCTTATTACTCATCTTACATGTAATTCTGCCTCTTGCTATTAGATCTCAAAGCTCTTTTTAAAGAAGATCAGTATTATTCCCCTTGTTTTACAGATGACTAAAGCAAGGCAGAAATCATTTCTCATGGTGACATGCAGATATTCAGTTTCTAACCTGGGAATAGAATCCAGGTTTTGCCGATGTCAATTCAGCACTCTATGCAAAAGGACAGATTTCCTGTCTCAACGGTACCAATATCAATAAGTAGCTACCTCTCTCCCTATGTTTTGTCCCACACGTTTTTTTCTACATCATAGAGGAATCAGCTTAAAAATTGATACCATTAATATGGCACTAGCATACTTTCACCTCAACAGTCAGTCACTTTGACAAAACCAATCTTCACCATGATTTTGCAGTGAGTTACTGCTCCAAAACTACATTCATCTAACATTTCACCTTTATTCAACATTTGGAAGATTTCAGGATCAATGTTCCAGTTGCGTTTGCAGTAGCTACTTTCTACCCACTTAATTGTCACCAGACATGTAATCTTCACTAATTTCAAGGCACTACAATTGCAGACTCAGCTATTTAATTGTTTTGATAACAGTAGAAAGGTATAACCCATGGCAGCATAAAATTTTTTGTTTAATTCTACACACCTTCAAGAATTAAATTCTTATGAGCCTATTTGCTGGACTGCACATTTGTGGTAGCATTTTGTGCTGGTTATAAAAAGCAGCTTTATCTTATAGAAACTAGGTTATTTTAGGTGATAGAGAGGCCTAACTGTATCCTGAAAACACTGGACTAGAGTTCTGATGATCTAACATCTCATTAGTTCTGCTCAGATTCTTACGATGCCCATACAGTGTTGTCTTACCTTTGCCTTTGTGTTTTTTCTGTTTCTGCTCACTTAACTTATCCAATGGCAGGTCACTGAGGTCCAGACTGTACAGGTTTCTGGCTAACACTTTAGTTAGGGTCTCCATTGTCAGTGACCACTCAGTGGCCAGCTCTTCCCAGTATGTCAGTGATGACATGACAGACAGTAAGTCATCCCAAAGTTCTCGAGAGATGTACACATTTAGATTTGCTTTGATCCAAGCTACTATAAGAGTCTAAGAGTAAAATGAGAAATGTTGACTTATTAACAAAAGATGACAATAATCAAACATTACTGCTTAAAAAAAAGTATCTAACTGCCATTACTTCTGTGTTCATTTCCTCACCATTACTTACAGACTTCTCATGAATAATCAATTAACATGTGCTTTTGATTTAAATACAGGAGCAACTGATTTAACTTCTGTAAGATCTTACCATATTTTACAAGTTTTGACAGACAGTTTAAAGACTATTCTCAATTAGTTCTCATCACATTTGAAACTCTACTGTCTTTTTCCCCTTCTAAAGAATCTGAGGACATTATAGATTTATAGAGAAGGCATCATAACAACAGTTTGCAAATATGAAGTTTGAAATCATCTATTACAGCTTATAGAAAGGAATACAAAAATCAGTTCAATAGGCATAGATAGCACAGAAGACTGGTGCTGACCTGAGCTAAAATTTTAGTCTGCAACAGAATTGGAATAAAATTACCAGTTAACTAATGAAGTGCATTTATTTTTAATTTCACTTGAGAACTATTATTAGAATGCCATTAACTTTAGACATTATGAGATACAGCCAGATGCTTAACCCATGCCATTCACATTATCTGGACAATCAATGACTTAAGATGACAAATCAGTCAACAGTAGTTGACGTGTCTTGGTTAAAATTAAACTGAATTAACTAAATTGAGTTTATGGTTTAATTGCCTGGAAAAGAGGTCCCGCAAGTCTTCCTGCTAAAGTGGAGTTTTTTCTTCCTTGATACTGCAAGAAAGTTTGGGGTGGTGTTTTCAGCACAGATTCAGTAACTCTGAGCAACACAAGTAGCATTTGTTCCCTGCAAAGCAATGTTAAATTTAAAGTCAGTACTTTGTTATATTTCTGTATATACCAAGATACCTCTAAAGATAATATCTGAGCTTGATTTTCTCAAATACACTGCAAAGAGCCTAACTTGATTATTGTAGAAGAAATTAATGAAATCGTAAGATAATGGTCTTTTTTTCTGTATAAATGACAGGTTTGGGCAATGTAACATTATCATAAATAAAGCTTCATTTGTTATTTTGTGTGACACAGAATCTCTGTCATCACAGTCTAGAGTCACTTCTTTAAAATGATACTGAGAAAGAAAATAGCAACTCAGTGGGATCTGTTTTCTGTTGCTTTTCCTAATTCCCCATTGGTGATTACTTGTTTCCTCACAAGGGGAGACGAATTTTACGTGATGTACAGGGTACTTACCCAGGAGATACTAGTGAGAGACTGAATGCAAGTCAAGTTAAAATGGAATAAATCAGCCATTTGACATCCCCTTGTTACTGCCTCCTTGCAATAGAGAATGGTGGCAATATATTACCTCATTAGAGACAGTTATTTAAAAGAGAGGAGGAAATAATGTAGATGACTTGTAAGAGGGTCCCTTGCTCCTGCTATGCAACTTAAACGCTGGAATGGAACAACACTGTTAAACAGTAAGTGGACTCTTGCACAAACTTCTTCATTTGCAATTAATTTCAGCTTTAGAGCAACCCACATCTCATTATAATAATTATCCAGACTTTACTGAGTATTTTTGTCTATTTTCAAATCAGACTGTGAAGCTTCATACATGACTTCATACTTAGGACTCTCATACACTGGAAAAAATTCTTGCAAAAAACCAAGCCATCACTAGCTACTTAATAGTAGTCAATTTCTTATTTCTTTTTTCTTTTTTCTAGTCCATAGCTTATTTCTTTTTTCATTGAGGCTGAGCCGTCTCAAACTAGCTAGCAATGACTATTGGTTTTAGCAGAGGAGCTCACCAATTTCTCTATGGAAAGTTGCTGGAGATTGTTAAAGTTCATGCATTTACTGATTTAGAGAATCTGACTGACACAGTCACTACCATCCTATTGTGTTTACTGCCAAGAACACTTTCACATTTATCTTATGAAATAATAATTTAAGATAAAAACAACAGCATTTTACCAGGTCTTCTTGTCCATAGTAACTTGAACTACCATGTGACGGTAGATATTAAGAATCCGTTTACACATATCAGTATGTTCATCCAACAGAGTTTTAATTTCATTTGCAGGCTCAAGAAAGAATATGTTTGAAGAATTTATTATAAAAACCTGCAGGTTAAAAAAAAAAAAAAAAGTGTAATGAGCTTGAAGCACTCTGATATTTTCAACAATTCTGCTAATAGTAATCGAGAAAGACAAAATTCATGATTAACAAAATTGGCTGCATATACACATTCAGAAGTATATATTCAAATACATGTAAGTTTGATTTGATAATAAAACAAGATATTAATTTTAATGGTTTTTTTTTTCCTATAAAAACATTAATATATCTTTGTTCTCCTAGATACGTGGTACAGTAAATTACTCAATCAGATTGTTTAATATAATGGACAAAATGTGTCAGTAAAGAAGTCTACTGCTTCTTTAAGCATAAAAGCTCCCCTGCAAGCCAGTAACGGACTGGTATAACACATGCTAAACTACTTGAAATAGTCCCATATAAACAGTAAATGCTACCATGATTAACTGCTGTCAAGATTGACTGTTCACAAATACCACTTCCTAGATATTTACATTAGGAAGCTTGCCAAAATACATACTGGAGTTAACAGAATTCAAGTCTGTATGCTCAGAGCTAAAAGGATATAATTCTCATAATATGCAGAAGTAAATGAAAAACAGTCAATGACATTAAGAATTGCTTTGACTATGTTTTGCTCCTTGTGCAGTGGAATGATATTATGTGAGCATTAAGCACCAACAAGATAAAAAAACAGGTATATATATTATTAGGCCTTAAATATCTGTTTTAACTTTTTTTCCAGGTTGGTTTTGTTTGGTTTTTTTTTTGTTTTTTTTTTTTTTCTTTTTCTTTTTCTTTTTAAATCAACTTGGGTTAAGATATTGAGGAGGTTGGGCCCAAATACATTTGTATTTTTCACAGAAGCCGATAATTACTGGCTAAAACACTAATTGTTAAGATGGAAAATAATTCTGTCCTCTCAAGTGCTCTTTAGTGTATTATTGCTTAACACAACAACATTCTTGGGATGAAAAATGGTAGTAATGTATATTTACAAAAAGAAAAAAAAAGTCTAGCAAAGACTTTTGCAGCTCAGACACTTTCTGGTGATCCAGCCTTCTTAAGGCTGAATGATTCAACGTTTTTAAAAGTCAATGACAGTTTTGCACTGATGTCAATGGACAGTGAATTAAGGCTTTCAGAATGAAAGTCTCTAAGGGCCTAGAAATAAGCCTAGAAACAGGAAGAAAATTCAATAGACAAGTCTTTGATAACTGATTCAGAAAAGGCAAACATGGTTCCAGGTCTGGAAACCTCTCAAATTCAGACACTGTACTGAGGCAGTATGCCTCGAGTCTGGCATCTTATAAATCTTTGAAGCTAAACAAGATATTTGCTGTTTGAATGATCCTTTGTCTAAAAAACATCAATATGGAGGACCTCCCAACCATTCACAGATACGTAAACTTAAATATTAATTCAAATTGAGAGAGACACTTCTTTCTTCCCTTAGAAGCATTTCATACATATTCTACATATTGCATGCATACTTACATATGCAAAGATTAAGAAGGTTAAATTGTTATGTTTGAATATAAAATTTGTTTAAAGTTACAAAGTTTATTTTTATATTTAACAGCATTATAGGAAATCCTTTTTTAGGAAATCCTTCAAGCTGCAGAAATCTTAATTAAGATGGTCATTTATGTTGTAATTGGAAACAACAGAGTAGCAATGGATGTTTTGTTTAGAATCAATTTTCTTCCAGATAGAAGAATATTATGAAGGTTGAAGTAATGCACACACTTCTGTGAGTTTGTACATGTACATATTATACATAAAATGCACATATTTTACATGCTCATAAATGCATTTCAAAAACCCTAAAAACTCCTGATTATATTTAAAATAATTAGAAAAACTGAGAGATGCTTTGAAAGAGCATGGGAATCCTTTGTAGGAATACTTTATTCCATTCTTTACGTGCTGACATCATGAGTTTTACTTTTAAGATGAAAATTAAATATCAAGCCTATTTCATACCTGTAATACTGACTGCATTCCAGCTCGTACATTTTGCTCTTCCGTATCAATCTCAGATAGTTTATGCAAAGTCTCTTGGTAACAGCCATTTCTTGCCCAGTTTGAGTTCCTAACATGACTGCAGTTCATAGCTTTTTCCTGAAAAATATTTTGCCCTTAAAGTTCACATTGATTTTTTGACAGGTATTTTTGTTTTACAGTAAAGAAAAATTATGCAATAATAAATAGTAGACAGAACTTTAATACGTATCTTAAAGATAACATCATGTTTTAAAAGGTTTGTAGGAATTATTTTCAAGTACCTGGTTAAATACTTGCTATTTTCATCACTCACTTATTTGTATATAACTTGTATTCAGCTGAAAGCTTGTATATTTTATTATTATACAAACCATATCTTGAAACCAGATTATAAAACTATGTTTTTTTAAAATTGAACTAAACACATTAAAAAATTACAGATAATAGAGCAAACTGGTACCTCACATACACACTGTTTAATTATCATTGCTTCATTCCCCCAACAGATGCTTCAACATTAAGCCAACCACATATAATCTGTTGAATAAGCCCACTTGGTCTCAGCCTCTGCCCACTATGCAAAAGGTGCAGAAAGAGCAGTCAACAATATTTTACCTCTTCTCTTTCTTTTGCTTTCTCTGATGAATTGCGGTCTACAACATTTTCATCACAATCTACAGTTGCACACTGCATTACTTCTTCAGATTCTTTCATAAATAAAGGCTTATCTTCTTGCTGAATCCATTCCTGATATACCTTTACCACTTTCCTCATGGCAGCTGCTTCGCATATTGGCAACAGAAATGCCTGGGAGTAGAAAAAGAAACCAATAAAACCCAGTTACAATACTTGAAAAATGGCTAAAAAGGCATGGCTTCAAGCTATATCTAGAGCTGAACATTTTTAGGTACAAAGTGCATAAAGTAAAGAAGCATCAGGATAAACTTCAAACTCACTTAAGCACTGCTTTATAATAGGTAAGCTCTAAGGGATAAGAGAAAATAAAGTACAACCATTGAAGGATCTTGACTAGGAAATTTCTCACAAGCCTAAACGTTTGCTCACTTTCTCCATCTGTAATGTGAGAGTGTGCAGACAGATGATAAAGAAAATGCTTTATCAAGAAAACTTGAAAGCTTCTCTGCAAAAAAGATAGACACGAGAATCTACACAGGTGGATCTATTCAGTGTCTGGACTGCTGAAATTAAAGCCTAAATACTCATCAAAAGCATGCAAAACAAATGGTAGAAGTTTCTTCTACAATACCTTCCATTTAAAGCACTTGGAAGAGTAGCATTAAATCAGTTCTAAACTGCTAATGAAAATGGAAGCAACATTCATTACTCATAGTCATTTATCTTACTTTTACCTAAAAGAGATTCAGAGTAGTAGCCTTAAAACTAACGATTCACTGAAAAGACTTCAGAATTATTGTTTTAAAAAATCATGTTTTTGAGTCAGTGTGACGGCTGATTTCTGCCCTCTCCAGGACGTTTTATGTAACTGCTGTGCCTGTAATGAATAGTCAGAGATCAGGAACTGTTAATATTAGTCAGGCTTCAAGTAACTGCATTTATCAAAGACTATAATGACCAAGTAGTATTAAAAAAAACAAACAGATAAACTACACTAGCACATAGTTTTATGGAGTCTGTAGTGTGAATGTTGAAAACTCACTGACCATGCCTTCAAGGCATACCCACATGACAAAATCAAAATATTCTCTCTCCAGAAATGGATGTGTCATATGAATATCACACTAAAAATAAGTGTGGGGAAAAAAAAAAAAAGAAGGGAAGAGTTCTAATAGTTCTGTTAATTTAGAATCTCTGTTCCATGTCTCAGACTGTCAACCCTGGAGTTTCCACAAGGTAACTGCTGTTTTCTTCATTAACGTGTCCAAACTCTTCAACACATTGGATATTGTTAAGCTTCTGACATTCACCTCATTTAAGAACATCAATTTTAACCAGAAATACTGGAGTTTTTTAATGTTTGGTTTCCTGTTCTTTAAAGAAATCTATTTGCATTTCAACAGAAAGCTAGAAATTTTTCTTTAGTATTATCAGCAAAAACCTTTTCACCTTTAAGTCTTTATGCCATAGGGCATAAAGAAAGTCTACCTTCCATTAATTGTCTTGGTTTGAACTCAAAGCTATGTATCTTCGTATTACAAAGAAAGACTTGATATTCTGGTATATATTCTTAGTTTAAATTTGTTCAGTAAAATTTCCAGCTGTAAAAACCTATCTTGAGTATGTTCAGCTTATGTGTCTGGTTGCAGTAGAGTTACAAGCAGAATCTGTTACCTTCTGTAGCCATCTGTCTCACTTTTCTGGTGAATACTGACAAGGTAAGGTCATTTCACTGCTGCTAAAACAGATCTGCAGAACAGCTGCAGACTTCTAAAGCAGGCTTATATTTAAGTTTGGTTGTGAGTTATAACAGCTATGGGGCTAAAGAGATAAAACATTCCTATCAAATTGTAAATTCCAAGCTAAATTCTCTCAAGCTGGTTATAAAAGAAATAGAATTAGAAAAAGGAGGGTCCAGACACATTCTACACAAGAAGTAAAGATTCTGAAGTATCTTCTAATTTCAAAAGCATTTTAAAGGCAAAATGACAAAAAAATGTACATTTTAATAATGTTCTGGTTAGCAAATACACTCGAAAAAATATGACATAATGATCACTTCTAGTGTAATTTTATTGCTCTTGTATTCGAAGGAAGATTTTTTTACCTGTCGAAAAATCTCAGTTAGAAAATTAACATTACTTCTTTTAGAAGAAAAGACTTTGCGGACGATTTCAATATCAGTTAAATGTTCTTCATCAATACTGCAGAGGCTAGAAGAACTTGGTTCTCTCTCTGTTAGAGTACTTGTATTAGAATGCGATTGTTCTGGCTCTGCATTTCTATCCTGCTTGTCAGTATTGTCATTTTTGCTGTCTTCTCTTGAAGCCATGCTAGCAGCTGCTCTCTGAAAGAAAAATTAAGAGAGTATCTCATAGCACATTTTAGTAATACAATTTGAATGACACAATTTAAATCACACAGAAGTACTCTTTAAAACAGTACAGAGAATTCACGAAAAAGAACAAATATAAAATTTACAGTACTCCAAAGCTTTACTTGTTTAAAACACAAATATTTAGCAGATTTAAAAAAAAAAAAAAAAAGAAAAAGGACCATAGTGACTTCTTCTAAACTGAATTCATAAGCAGAAGATTTTTTTAGAAATTTTCTTTTTTAATTCTGCATTAATTATAATGATCAAAAGATTGTATGCTGCTGGCAATACTAGTAAGTGAAAAACATAAAAACAAGAAAATGTTGTTTATTTAGCTTTACCTGAATATTCTTTGGCACATTTTCACCTTCAATCCCAGGAATATGAGGTCCTGTATGGGGTTTTGGCTCAAGCCAGAAAGACACCAACCACCGAATGACAATAACACGAGCCTTAATAAAAGGTTCCTTTGTGCAATATATTGCCTCATTGGTTTCAGCATCTTTCTTAACCATTACGTAGTGTGGCTTTGGTCTCATCTGTGGTATATCTGTAAGGAAAAACAACATTTAAAAATACATCAAAGAGAAAGCTCTGTTCAACTGAAGCCACTCTGTGATTCTGTATGTAAGAAATCTTAAAACTATGACCAATACACATGAACGTTCAGAGATGCTGTTTCTTCACATTCACCACTGAACATCACATTCCAAGCTGTGCTGAAATGGCCACAATATAGATAGTTCCAAAACTAGACAATAAGGATTCAAAAGGCTGTAATTTTATCCTGGAGTGAAAACGTATTTATAATCCAACAAACAGTAACAAGCTTTTACTGTTCTAAAACATTTAACTTTCATCTGGAAGGTATTTGTTGTATGGCTTACAGCCTTGTTTAAATTTTAAAAACTTCTACATCCTTTTCATGCTTTCAGCCTTATTTTTAATTTACGTGCTATATTTACATTTAAAGAGAAACCTTGGTAAACTCATCCAAGAGTATAACTACTTCACACTTGCATTGAAAAGCACAATGAGCTTTAAATAGGAAAATAACCATTAACTAGACCAAAATGCATCCTATACAAGAAAATAATGCTCATATATAATGACAGTGTTGTCATTTTAAAAAAAACTTTTTAAGAAGTGTTTATAGCTAAGTTACAAAGCAACAACTTACCTGTGACTCATACCAAATTTACAGACATTTAAGAGCCTTATAAGCCTACTCCCTACTACCAAATTTACTAGGTGAACAAATACAGTTCAGATGTAGTTCAGAAGCAATGCGTCGTCATATTTTCTAACGAATCCCCAGAAATATTTGTTTGTCTGTAGCAAGCCATAGTTAAGCAATATAGTTAGCAATAAAGGTCAACAGTTGTTTACTGATGCTGACCCTAACATTTGATCATGGCTGTTATAGGAGAGCCTTAACTCCAAATTATATTTTATAAGCAGCTGCAGTAAAAGTGGACTGTTGGTCCTGGAATAGGTGAAAGATGAATAATACAACACGGAGAACACTTTAAGTCTCACAGCTCCATCTAAGACCATATTTCTATTACATAATTTTGCTGGACTTTGCTGCCAGAGCAAGGGCACATGCACCTTCATATGACTTAGTTGAAAGCTGATTCTAGAAGTACTAACTCCCCCACTAGCTTGTAAGGAATGCAATGAATGATGCCCCATGGGATTACAGTTCTGCTCTGAAGGAACTTTGATTAACTCAGGGTTTATAACCTAAAATTCCCATGTTCAGCACAGTGACTCAGAATATTTTATATCTCCTCGCTCTCAACTCTTGCAGTGACAAAGATGCTGGCAGTGCAATTGGAATCATGAATCTAATTGGAAAACAAAAAAAGAAAAAAGAAAGGTAGTACCGTTTCTTGCTAACTCGTCTTAGATGCTATCTACAACTACAGTAAAATGTTACAAAAATCTAAAAATGTGTTTGGGGGGTGCAGGAAGGGAGAACAGTTTGTTTGTTTTTAAATGGTGCATAACATACCCTCCTGCAAGCACATGTATCAACAGCCCAGTTAAATTCCAGATATATATATATATAGTTAGCTCAACACTGCAAAATGTGATGTCTAGTTTCACAACCCAATACTGCTATATAAAAATCAACAGTCAAAAGCGACTACAAGACTTCTGGATGTGAATGGCATTTCGGTGGGAGTAGTGTGCCAAGTTTATTTCCAGTTCTTCAGTGTAGAAAAGCAAGTAGAAGATCTGCTCTAATACAGAGTCAATGAAAATGCAGCTAAGGACTGAAGACATCAGGTGCCGTCAGAGCACATCTTACTGCTGGTATTTCAGTATAACAGTTTTATCTGGAGATACCATGCAATCCCAAACCATGCCCAGAAGAGAGAAAACAGAAAATGATGATCCTACTCAGATAAGGAGAGAGATGCACTGGAAACTTAAGATGCATTCCATAGTTTTACAATCTTTAGTTGGCAGTTCAAAAATACTAGTACTAGGATTCAAAGATGTAAAGTAGCCACGTTCGAAAATGTAAAGTTGTTCCCCATCTGTGTCTTCCTAATGTTAGGCCAACAACTTTTCAGGGATACAGTATTACTTCTTTTGGGCTATATATGGTGCCATTAATCCAGGAAGAATAAATGTAGACAGCAGCAATGTAATAATTGCCTAGATAATAGCTGATTATCTTACGATAGAAATATAAACTTTCAGATGTTTGAAGTTTACAGCCACCCTATGACAAAGGTTTCCCTGTTAATATTACAAATACACAAGACAACACCCAGCACCAGCACTGAGAATATCCGAGTCAATGCATCTGTTTCCTTCCAAGAGACATGCACAAAACCAGTGATAATCTCAACACAACACTGCTTAACTGAGGAATGTTTACAAAACGTACTTTAAAATTTAATCCAGTACTTTCAATGGAAGCATTATTTTTAGAGGAAACTGCATTACTCTTGTACCATCCATGTAAGAATAACTTGCAAATGCACAGAACACTTTTAAACAGCTTAGAAATTTTTATTTAGTGCAAGTACAGAAAAGTATACCATTTTCATTTTGCAGAAAGCAGCAACTTAAGAAAAACATCTAAAAAAATTATACATCTTAAACTGCAGCATGTGTTACTGCACAGCCTGTGAAAAAATGATGTGCCTGGTAGTGCAAGGCAGAAAAATCAGTCCTCTGACATGTACTGCATTCAGTAGAAGGTGAAGGCTACAATCCTAGCTATGCATTAACAGCACTTGGACAGTTGTTTCACCCCTTTCAAAAAAAAAAAACAGTACACAAGCTCTAAACACATCTTTGCAGTGCACTGTCTCCTCTAATTTCACAGCATCTTCCCAGAAAAGCCTCTCTCTAGGTATTCTTAACTATATCATGTAATGCAGCTGTTTCTCAAATGCATTCTCCATCAATTGTTTCTTGTGTTTTCACACTTCTGCCAGTCTTCAAAGTATTTGCGAGGGCTTCATGGAAGGGCATAGACCTAAAACCGGAGCAAATCAGAAGCTTACTAAATTGACTAAAATAACACAAGAAAATATTCCTTTCCCCACGTTTTCATTTTTCCTTTATTTTGTTTAGTTTTTCCCTCAACTCTGGGAACGTAGTGTGAACTTATGCAAGGAGGACAAGTTTTATATGGAACAGACAATGAAAAGACCAGGGAAAAATAGATATAATGGTGGTCCTTACAGTTTTGACCATGCTTGGTCATGCATGTCAAACATGACAGTTTAAGGCAGTAAGGAGCACAGAGAACTATGGGACAGACTACTTTCTGGTTTACTTGTAAACAAATAAGCTCTTCTAAATGGCTTGGAAACGCAACAGATAGGTAGCATGGAAGTAAAAATGACCCTGAAATCCATACTCCAGAGAACATCTTACAGAATATGAATAGATGTCAAAAGACATTTGAAACAATTCTACTCTTGTACTGCACTGCTCTTCTAAGCCTGAGAGACTCCAAGGATTTCAGAGGAGGCATGTTAGCTTCTCGTAACTGAATATGCATTACTGTAACTGATACACATCTGAAAATATTGCTTAAGAAAATCATTACTCAATTACCATCTTCAATAAATGACTAACGCTTGCTTAGTAAAACTACTGTTTCCACTTGTAACCTCATGATTTTTTCTAAATTAAACATAAAGCTAGTAGGACAAAAGCAAGTTTTTAATCAGCATGCTCAGTGTCCAAGCTTTTGCTGTTTTCTGCCTAAACGACTTGTTAATTTTGTTCAGAACTGGCAAGTAGAAGATGGTTTTCAATTAGAGTGAGGGGAGGAATGCCAGAGAAGAATTTCAGAAAGGAAAAATCTCTATTCCGCTTACCAGTGTTTCTGTTGTCTCTGCTACTGTACTCTTCCTCAGACTGCTTCTGACTTTGCACAACTTAAGGCATTGACAGTAGTTTTGGAGATCTGTGTTAATTTTTTTCTTCTTTCCCACTGTCCTAAGCCGTGCAAGTTTCCTGTTTATGGTTCACAGGAAAAGAAAGAACTACAGTAGTACTTCCTTGGAAGAGTCAATCAAGACCTCCATAGAAAGAAATAAGGTTTCCACATTTCTTCTTCCAAGACCTCAAAGAAGCAGCACTTGCAGCTATTTCATCAATGAAGCTCTTCAGTATCTTCACACAATTCTTGTTCCACAATTGCTTATGACTGGATTTATACTGTTCCTCTTCTCCTGTGTGAGAAGGTCCACTGTTTGTAGGAACACCCGTCCCAGATTTTAAACACACATCTCTGCAGAAAGCCATAATCCACACATAGACTAGTAGCAAGAAAGACCTTTTAGGCATCCTTTTCCCATAGCTTGATTTTAGAATATGGAATTATGGCTGGAGAGATTACTATTAATCCTTATGAGATGCTGCATCAACAGCCAAAAGAAGTGGTGCTGCATACATATTATTCAAGCAATGAAATGTACCTAAAAGCCTGAGTAGATCATAGTGCTTTGTTTGTTGTGTGGGTGAATATAAACCTGAGGTAGCAAAGTCAGGATACGCAAACAACATTCCAGTTAAGAATGAGCTAAAAACTTCTAAACAAAATTCTGGTTGGGTTTGCTAAGTAAACACCTAGAATTCCAGATTTATATAGAAAGATGCATTTTAGCAAGGTCTTTTTTAAAGATTGTTAAAACCTACCTTCCTCCTCCTAATGCAAGCTCATGACGAAAATACAGTTGATATAAAAATATAGCTAACTTCGCCCTGATTGAACTCTTGAACAAGCACAGTATGATCCCATATGTTTATTTATCTGTACATATTCTGTATGGATAAAATCAGCATTCCCAAAGAGCAGAACTTCTCTTGTCTTAACATAATTAATTTACCTTCTGAGCATAACAACAGAGGTCACATAAAGAATTGTTTTACATTTAGTTTACCTGAATTGTGTTAATATGTTAAGATTGACAGAAATTAATAAAGGGATCAAGTGCTTCCACAGATAATTGAAAGCCATGAAACAGAAGCCATGTTTCCTTTCATAAGAAATACTGAGCATGAAGAACATTCTCCTTAGTATACCTTAAGCAAGAAACTGCTTTGCCACGTTCTTTGTTAGAGGAAATATAACGATCATTTACTTTATCAGTTGTATAGACTTACCAAGTATAGGGTTATATAAGCTGGTCTCCTTACAGATATTTGGGAAGATAGAAGGTAAGTAATATTTCTTAAAATTTGAGAATAAAAATGAAAATCCCTTTTCCTGGTTTTCTTTGTTCTTCCATTCCAAACTCTTAACCTTAAAAACAAGAAAATATTTTAAATTAAGTAAATCTAGAAGAGAAAGATGACAGATGAAATTGTCTCTTTATACATTATTTCCCTGAAACAATATCATTTTTATATACATTTGCAATATAGAGTGCTAACTGTTTTTTTCCCTTTCCACTGGACAAATAGATGTTAGTTACTTCATGTTTATTTGCTTGAAAGCTACAGAACATACCTGAATTACTATGTATTTCAGAAGTGCTTCCAAGAAATAGCTTGTTAAGTCTTCTTGTCCTTTATCCCCAGATTGAGGTGGAACAAGTGGAGTGATTTCCTCTATAGTCACTTGAGCTATCAAAGAATATTAATAATGATTTTTTAAAAAAATCAGATCTACATTTATATGACTTCCATATAAACACCTACCAGGTCATGAAGGTAGAAATGTACTGCTACAAACAGAGAGGTACAGGCAAAACAAAGTAAACACACATTAATGAAATTCAGTAAGCTTTAGCTAATAAATCAACATACAAATAATTTCTTATGTTACTAAAAATACAGAGAAGAATTAAATTCTCTTTATGCACCTTGAAATTTATCTGCTAAGACCAAATTTTTCTGAAGGACATAAGCAATATTTCTAAATTTATGCAAATGATGAAGAGCATAGTGTTTGTGTTTCACAAACGCCAACACTTCATTTACATCTACATTTTCTTCATTTAGCAATTCATCAGTTACATCAAATAAAGATTTAGTTTTATACATCCTTTGCCTCTAAAGCGAAACTAGATAGGTGCTATTTTTCTCTTGGTCCTGCAGTAAGATGCTTGCATTTAACTCTTTGTACTCTGCAATTCTATGCTGCCAAGACAGTTGGATTTTTTCCTTCTTTCTTGTGTCTGCATACGAGATAACTTCAAAACACGGCTTAAAGTAACTTATATCTCCAGAGATAACCTGTCAAGAAATTCAGCAGCTGGAGTCAGCTTTCTTTCTGTAAATTTAACTACCAACCAACAAGACACTGTTTCCTCTATAAATGATGCTTGTGTCAGCTCTACAGCATTAGGTGGAGGTGGGGAGAAAGGCAACAACACTTTCTGCTCAGAGGAATAAAGTGCTTAGCTTCTCATTCATATCTGTGTGAATACACAGTTTGCAAGCAAAATATACAGTTTGCAAGCAACACCACTCAATTCCAATTCATGGATAAACCTGAATTCCTACAAAAGGTATATGCATTGAATCACAAAGTAAGAATTTTCCCCAAAGCTACAATTAGCTGATATTTACTGCTGGAGTGAACAGCTGAAGATAAATTTGCCATGAAAACGATCATAAGAAAAAGTTATCTCTACACTCTATCAATTAGGAAGATATGAAATTTTTAAAGCTATGATCATTATCACATCAATTATGTGGAAAAAAAAAAAAAAAGAGTAATTTTACCAAATCACTTACTTTCTTGAACATTGAGAGGAGGGTTAATGAGATTATCTAGTGTTCGGGGACCATATTCAGATTGTGGTGATGAAAATCCCGGAATTAAGCAAGAAAACATCCATAGTTGTTCTTTACTACAGTTATTCTGAAGTGCTTGCAGCCACAGCAGAAAGAGACGCACACCCTCTCGACGTATCTGAAATGAGAAAACAGAACAAGGGAACAAGTTAACTTGGACCAAAACAATTCTGTACATCCTGGAGGGAGGAGGAGAAAGACAGGGATGGAAAAGATGAGAACAGACGGCGTAATCCCCAGCAAAGACAAGCTAGCAGTGTACAGGCCCTGTTGAATTGCAAGCCCAATATGATCTCTTTTACAGTGCTTTCCCTGAAAGAAGAGGAAGAAGACAATACACACCTACTCACTTGCTTGAATAGTGTGAGATACCATCTGAATTTTTAAGAAAATAAGTAATATCGTAAGATCTGGAAATATGTTCGTGAATTGTAGGAGCAGAGCGAGCTTTTTGCTGTAGCAGGACTCACAGAATCACATAATTGTGGGAGGTGGAAGGGACCTCATGAGATCATCTACCCCAATCCCCATGCTAAAGCAAGTTTCCTTAAGTAGTGTTCAGGCAGGTTTTGAGTATTTCCAGAGAAGCAGACTCCACAACCTCTCTGGGCAACTTGTTCTACTGCTGCCATCCTCAAAGTAAATAACTTTCTTCTCATATTCACATGGAACCTCCTGCATTCTGGTTTTTGCCTGCTGTTCCTCGTCTGTCACTGGGCAGCACTGAAAAGAGCCTGGCCTGTCCTTGTGACATCCACCCTTTAGATATTTATACTTCTTCTACCCTTTTTCATTCCTTCTTCAAGTAATGAAGTAGAGTCCCAGAATAGTCTTCTCCTGGCTCTTACATTGGAGGACTTCAGGACCAAAAAGCCTGAAGATGGTTCACAGAGAAGTGGCACAGCTGCTTACTGCTGTACCAAAACCACGTGGTCAACCACTGTTATTTTACTACCTACTAGAGAATTACCAAGGTCAACGACACTAAGACAATCAAAACCTCAGCAACGAACTGATATTCAGTTATTTGCGCACATTCTTAAAATAGCTACCCTATTACTACTGTCAAAGTTCCACTGAAATTAAGATCTTGATTAGAAGTGATTACTTCATGACACTTAAGTCATGACCTGATTCTCACTACTATAATTTTTCCACAAAAATTCACTTTTATGTTCTTATTTTAAAGTAATTAAGACAAAATTAAATAATATGCAACTTTTTCCAATACCTTTAATGAATTTCCAGTATGAAGAAGCTTCTTTAAAATCAACCCTGAAAAGAAAAAAATAATTTTTTTTCTTAATTTCTTTGTTAAGGACAATGTCAGAGTTCTCGGTCAGACTTGCTAGCATCTTTTAAACAAGTCCTTGGCAACCTCCATTTTAATCTTGGTGAGCTTGTTACCTTCAGGCAACTCTCTCAATGCCAGAAGGAAAAAAAAAGATCACCTCTCACAGCTTCCTTGTAACACAGATCATCTTTCCTAAAGGACTTCTGGGGAGGTATACACTGAACACAAATGATTCTCACATCATTAATACAAGTAAAATCAGAGTTACCCATTTACAAATATAGATCTTCCTCAATTTTTTCCACCTATTACTGTATTGGAAAAATTGGAAAATTAGTTTACAGTGCTGCTGTCCACTTGCCTTTGCTCTTTCTCAGCCACCATTACATTTCTGAATTCTCACGTAGAAGAGTATCTAATTATGTTGTTGGGTTTTGTTGTTTCATTTCTCTCCGCTCCCATCTATTTTTTCCTTTCCTTACCTTAATAACGTTTCAAGACCTTATACCCTGCTATGGCACTCAAAGTTTCATGAAATCAGTAGCACAAACTCCTAACAGCTACTGATAAAAAAATAAAGGTTAAAAAAAAAAACAGCAAAAAAAAAAAAAACCAAAACAACAGATAAGCAACTTACCAATACTATGAAATTGCCATCTCTGATGAATCCTTTCTGGAAGGAGTTGCAATATTTTCTACAAAAAAAACAAAAACAAAAAACAACCCATCGATCTATGCTGTAGATATTGTATTCACTAAAGACTTAAAAGCGCTCTCACAAAGGCCATAGATCAGAAACTGAAAGGTTACTTTAGGAAATTTCCATATTACTTTCCCTGAAAACATTACTGTCCTTTCCATAGAATCCCATTCCGAAAGCTAAAAAGCCCAAAGGCTCTAACACACTGTGTGGCACATCCACATTTCAGATTTCAGATGTCGCTGCAGTTTATCTAGCTTCACTGACTCTTTGCTGGATATTACTATTTACAGCACAGGGAATGAAGTGGGATGAGCATCTGACTCAGTTGCTCTCATTCACAACAGTTGCATTAGGCTTCCAAAGCACAGCTCACCTAATAGCCTTTTCGCAACAACCAATGAACAAATCAAACAGCTCTTTTCAGATTCACTCTCTCCTATACAGCTAAACCTATGCTTTCAAGCAGCAATATACCTCACAATCAAACAAGAAACCCAACAACAAAAAACCTCCTGAATCTGTGTTCATCCACATAATCAGCATCCAGCTACTTTCTATTTAAAATAACCTTAAAAAGAAAAATCCTGATTACATATTCAGAAATTTTGATCAAAACAAAAAAAGACAAAAACTTGACATTAAGTTATTTTTAAACTATGATCTCTCATCAGAACCAGTCTGATTTAATTCAGATAGGTTCTAAGTCATCTTAAGTAAGTGAAGCAATGATATTGTGAAATGCTACTTTGAAAACCAAAATATAAAAGAAATCTATGTAAACTGGTTCTGCAGCTGTAATAACCATCACCACAAAAACTTGGGAACATACACATAAAATGTTTCTTCCAGTTATGATGCCTTCCTGTAAAAATTCAAGTCAACTATAAGCAAAAGGAAAAGGGAATGCAGTTCAGCATAAAGCATATTTGTAGGGGACTGAAGGATAGCTACTGTTACTATTCAACAGAACTTAATTCAAAGCCAAGAATTTACTAAGGAATACTGAAGTTATCTTACCTCAAAAATAAAAAGAATAGAATCTAATTCTTCTCTCTGAGACTTGTGACCTAGATGCAATTAAGAAGATACCAAAGCAGAATTTAAGCAATGCTGAAGATTCTTAGATGCACAAAACAAAACATGCACTTCTACAATCAGTAATTATCTTGTAATCCTTCTGCAAATAAAAAGGATGTTTTCTTTTGTTATAGTTTATAACAGCTACATTTCATATAACTTTCTATTATGACAACAGCAGCTGGCAGAGATTAAGTTGCACACCATCTTATGAAGTAAAGCTTCCAATGATTCCACAGCACACAAAAAGCCTAACATCTGAAGAATTCCCATTTTTCAAAATTGCAAAACCAGTTATTAGAGAATAAACTCTACTTCCTCAATCCCCACTCAGGTGTATCTAATTACTCCACCTTTATTCGCCATGTTAGTGTTTATGCATATTTCTGCATCCCTACTACATGTGATCACAGAAGCACATATACAAAAAAAATAATTCTATTTGAAACACTCACCTTTTTGTTTCAGACCTACTTCAATAGTCACAAAGTTTTCAAAGAACACATAATATATATGTGAGAAATGTAGATCAAAAAACTGTTTGAGATCAATCGATTCTGCATTCTCTGAAAAACAAAACAGAAGATTTTTATTTTCTCAAATACTCAGTCACCCCCAGTATACCATTATCCTGCAGTCAGAAACGGAGAATTAAAATAAAAAATAATTATTGGTAAACAAGTTCTTGAAGTTTCCATTCTTTTAAAGTAAAGCTAATGAAATTAAATACCCGGTGCCCACCAAAATTTAAAACAGGAAGCAGCATCTCCTTTCACATATGCTTGTGCGGCAGCAGCATCTGCAAACCCCAGCAGGGAATCAGAATTCCATGAAGGCTAGCCATATATAGATTAAACTTGGTTTAACTGATAATTCACTAGATACAAATCTACCCTACTGCTCCCATTCTGTACAACAGAAAGACCATCTCTGTCATCCACGGCTATCAGCAGCAACTACCAGACACAGCTAAGCTTAATGGGAGGACAGTAAGCAAAGTCCACCTCTGCTCTTTAGAGAAACAAGCAAGTGGCGGAGGAAGCAAGTGGCAGCTCTTGATTCCTACTGTTGCTCCCCCTCCTTCCTACCAAGCTTCAGACTTGCCCGCCTCATTCATTGCCCCAGGCTCCTTTGATTGTGGCGTGTCTGGAGATGAGATGCTGCTAACTGATATCTCTGAGGCTACACTTGGGGTGAGGGTAGGTGTGTGCTTTCCTCCCTTCCCCTGTGTAAACAGGAAAGTTTATGAGCTCTCTTCCAAAATCCCCCCAGACAATTTTGTGCAAATCTTCCTTCAAAACAATATGAAGATTCATCTAGTTTAGGTTTAAACTAGTTGGTATAATTATTTTAAATATCAATAAATACACTGAAGAAAAGGCACTCCCTGCTCAGACGTTTAACAAAAGATCAGAAAAATTAAGTGCACAGAAGAATAGTCAGGAAGCATGTGGCAACAGAAAGGCAGATTTTTAAAAGGAAAAATGCTTTCTCTTTGAAATAGTGATGTGGAGCAACAACAATAGAACAATAGAGAGTGAACAGAATGGAAATAAAGCAAATCAAAATGTATGCAGATGTTTTATAGCCATTAAGATTTACCAGTTCTACACACTAAGGCAGCATTACTAACTGTTGCTCTTCTAAGTACCTTTCTAATTTTCTATGGAATGTTCTTAAAACCCTTTTCAAATGACATCAATCTTCATCTGCATGACAGGATATATAAACCCCGCGGCGGGGGGGGGGGGGGGGGGGGGGGGGGGGGGGGGGGGG